TTGTAGGGGACCCCCCCCAAATATGTGGTTCCCTTTAAAAGACACTAAACAAAGTGGTAACCCCAGAGAAAGACAGCCCCCCATTTCTTGTTCTGCGGATAGTCTGAGGATCCAGCTCAACAATTCCAGAAACAAGAAGCGATCCCGAAAGGTCTTGTGATCTGTTTCGGTACCCCACCCATCCAATCCAACAGGCAACCCACATCTGAGGTATAGAAAAAATGGCTCTACCCTAGCAAAAATATGTCTGGAGATCCCGCCTTCCCGTCTTTCCCCCCCGCCCCCCAACCTTCCACTCCGCAGTGAACACCTCCCCCAAACCCCAAAGACAAAGAAATCCCGCTCCACCCCCCAAAAAAAGACAAAGAAAGAATCCGCCCAGCCACACCCACGGAGCCAAACAAATACACACACTTGTTTTTGGCGAGAAAAACAAAAAAGCGAAAAGGACGCCGCACCTTGAGGATCTTCTCCGGCTGGTCTTCCACCTGGCCGGCTCTTCTCGCGCCAAGGCAACTTGGAGCCTTGGCGCCTTGGCGCCTTGGTCAGTTTGAGCTCAGATGCCCAGTGGATGTCCGTGGGGAAAAAAAACAACGGGACCAACAAAAACCAAAACCATCTAGAGTCATGCAACAACAGTGAAGGGAAGTAAAGGGCAGTGGATTTCCGTGGAGAAAAAAAAAAGGGAGGACCCCCCCAGGAAAGGCACCGTTGTCTGACTGCGAGCAGCCCTGCAGTGAAAAGAAGGAGCTCGATTGAAACAGGAACATGAAAAAAAAACACACAAAAAAAGCACAAACAACCCAAAAAAACAACTTTGTCAAAAGAAGAAGCTCGCTTGAAACAGGAAAATCAAGGAAAAACGCCAAGCATCTTTGTTTGAGCTGATCTTTTGGCCCAAAAACCGCGGGGAAAGCAGAAGAGACTGGGGATGTGAGCTTCTTTGAAGGTCACAGAAAACCCTTGGTTGCCAGGGCCCAAGAGAGGACCCGCCAAGAAAGGCCCCTATTGGCCTCGAGAAGCCTTATTTGTCTCGCTACATTCACCCGCATTGGGATGGGGGGGGCCTTTTGGCCTTGCAATGGTAGCAAAGCACTTTGCTGTTTCCCCTAACAATGACCAGGACCAACAAAAACTAAAAACATCTAAAGACACGATCCAACAACAGCGAAGGGAAGTAGAGGGACTCAAACAACCCAGGGGTAGCTTCAGGTTCCCTCCCCGGAATCTGACCGCACCTCTGCCAGGTCCACGGTGACCTTTCCTCAGGCGCGGTTCCGTGGAGCCCCATGACTGGAGAGAACGGGTCGGGCCGTAGATGTCCAAACTAAAAAGTGGACAGTCAGGGGTAGGCTCCACCAATTTTCGTCGCCTGTCTGCCATTTTCGGCCAGACTTTGAAATGTCCATAAGCGGCGAGTTGTAAAATGTAGCATAGGTTCAATAGAGGTCCCCAACAAGGGCTGGAAGTTCTTCTTTATTTGACCCCCGCCCGTCCGAAGTGACCTTGATTCTTTTCCACCATGTTGCTACAAACAAGCAAGGGCTCATGATGCCTATCAGGGGCAGAAATGCGACGGCCAAGCCTGAAACTGTTGAACTTGCTCTTCTTTGCCTGGCTCCATCTCAAACAAAAATTCGGGACCCCCCCCAAGAGTGTCTAGATAGCCAAGTTGCTGCTTTTTTCAGTCTCTGTGGCTGGTTTTTGGGGTAAAGTGCATGGCAAAAAACAGCTGTTTCGGTAACCACTATAGTAGGTAACCACCAAGTTTTTCTTTTGGCTTTTCTATTGGGCGGTTTTCTTGCTTACCTACAAAACCGAGTTGATGGAATCGGTATCATGTCCGCAACCGGAAGGCTCTTCCTTTAGCCACAGCCACATTTGGAGACCCATCTGCCTGTGGCTCTAGGGAACCACCTCTAAGTGGTTGGACTAAAATCACCGGCCGAAGCTTGATGTCCAGGTTGGTTTTATAGGGAAGCCAAAAGAAACAAACACGTTCTGCAATATTCGGGTGTCCTCTATTTCGACGCACACCCACATGTTTTCCAGAACCCCTTGTATGATCCCTCACTGCTCCCCTGGGAACAATGACAAATGTCATCTCCCACGTTTCAAAGGGCCATTCGATTACAAGGGCCCCAATCATCAAAATGGGTGCAGTTTAAACCAACTCAAGGGGACAAAGGTGTGAGATTCTCGCATCCCTGTGCTTCCTAACATCCATTTGAGGGTAGTGTGAGGGCCCAGGCGTTCTTTTTTGTCCACGGCTTGTCTGAAGGCAAAAAAGGGAACGCCCAAACTGCCGGAGCTCAAACCCGAACAAAAAACCAGCGAGCTGAGGGTGAAACCGATGGGTGTCTTGTCCTCCTGAAACACTTCCACCGTCACCACGCCACCTGCGCCCCGATTCTTGTTTTCTCGGCGCGACGGACTGAACTGCGAGAACTGGGGGTGTCCCAAAAATAGGGGACCCCCCAAAACATGTACCCAAAATAGGGGACCTCTCAACATCAGGGACCCCAAAATAGGAGACCGTTAAAATTGGTGGTTCTCCCTTAAACGACCGCCGCAAGACGAGACAAACTCCATTCGACCTATAAGGTGGATAAGCCATTGGACGTCTCCCGTTGAAAGACTACATGTGAGCGAATTTTTTGACCCGAGCGAAATGGTGGTATGGGAAGCCCAAACATACACCCGGAAAAAACAACAATAAAAACTTCACACTGGTTCAACTCAAGAATCATTTGAGCTTGAGAAGGGGGCCCTCAAAAAGCAGTGTATTGAACCCGTTTTCCACCATGCAAGCAATGTATTGGTCCCAGGCCTTTTCTTTCTCAGGGGTTTGGACAAGTTTCACAACTCCCCAGCCATTGTCCATTACAAGTCACACATTCTTTGCAACTGGTGGATAGGGGATCTGGGCAAGCTCCGCCAGCACCGGCCAGATAGCCCTGGGCTTCTCTGGGTGGTTTGCCTCAATCAAAGCCTGGCACAAAAATGGTCGTAATCCCAGAACCATGCTTCAAGAACTAAGAAGGCGGATCTCCGCAGCTATTTATGGCAAGGGGATCGCCCCTTACTAACCTTCACCAATCCCCGAATCGGTTTTGAGGATGTGGCTTAAATGGGATCACTAAAATCGATGCGCTCCTTGGGCTGCAAACAAGCCCGCAGTTTCAGCCAGAGACTTGCGCGATCTGATCGGGAGGAAAGAGGAAAAGTTGGGAAGGAAGAATACCTGAACTGGTCCCACACAAAGAATTTGAGAGCACTTTGTGGACTTGGAGATGAGAAGCCGGAAGGACATGTTCCCAAATCTCCCAGTCAGCGACCCTCCGATTGGTACAATTGGATTGGTGAATTGGATTTGGATTTGGACCATTCCCTGGTTCTTGTAAAGGGTAAATGGGAAGCCTCCCGGTTTCACCAAACCATCGAGCAAGCGAACCACCAGTTCAAGGGAAGCTCTCTGAAAGCTGCGCCACAAACCGCCGGTGTGAAAAAGAACCATAAACATAACAAAAATAATAACAATAACAATAACAATAATAATAATAATAATAATAATAATAATAATAATAATAATAATAATAATGTGATTAACCATAATAATAATAATATTAAGCATATCAAAAAGCACATATATATATATATATACGCATATATAAACGAGGGCCACGAAGCGGCACCTGGGTACTCCAAGAGCCGGTGGAAGGCCTGGTACCAAACCTGGCGCGGTTTGTGCAGTCCCTGTGGATGGATTTGGAGGCGAAATCCATGGCGTGGGGCGAAATCCATTCGGGTAGACCGTTTTACTACAAGGTGTTGATAGTGACTCCTAACAAAACCGTTTTAATAAAAGGTGTTGATAGTGACTCCTTCCAAAAAAAGAAAACTGGACTTTAAAGCTGAAAGGCGATGAGGTGTTTGAACACAATGTGATTTCAGCATGGGGCAAAATTAAACCAGGGGGTAATCCGCAGGTTTTAGTCCATGTTTCCATTTACCAAGGGTCCATCTTGGGTACCTATGTTTGACCCACCGCCATTTCGCACCACCGTTCAGAGACCCAACTGAATGATACGGTTCCCCTGGTAAATACCAAACAAACAATGGTTTCAAGCATGGTTTCAAAGCGGTCGAAATGGATGTCGTCCACAGGACTGGACAGCTTGGCAGCGGCAACACCGCCGTTGCTTCTTTCCTTTTATAATATGTATATATAATAATATACATATATATATATACATATATTATAAATGCCCATATATATATATATATGTATGACTCGCCCGTTGCTGCTTTCTCCTAGCAACTGTGACTGTTTGCTTGAGCAAAGTGTCCAAACAAAACAGCAACGTCGCGATCCAATTTGTTTGTTGTTTCTCTTTTCTTGTTGGGCGGGGCAGGGCTGCCCTGTCATCCACACAAACGTGGAACAGAGGCGTCCTTGAGGAACATGTTCTTCCCGGTCAGGCTCGATGTTGCATGGGAAGGTCCCCTTACACTTTGAAGGGGCAAACCAAACCAACCAATCCTTTGAAATCGGTTTCTCCCCACTTCTGTGATACAAGGGAATCCCCATTTATATGAAGAAACTAGGCTTTGGGAAGCCCTTTCTGTTGTATCACAGAAGTGGATTCCATTCCCCACAGCCCTGTTTGAAGTTGAAGGCGACCTCGATCAATCGAGGCAAGGGACCCGATCTAAATTTTCTCCCAGTGCCATAGCCTCACTGCCAAGTTGGGATCCCCGCCCTAGATCTGCCGAGCCGCCACTGACAAGCTCCGCTGCATCTCCACCAGGACTTTCACCTGGCACGAGGCCGGAAACGTTTCCGGGGTCGCTTCCCGACTTCCTGAGTGGATGGCCAGCTTTGTGTATGCCACCAACATGGTCCAGACCCGAAAAGTGAGCTGAGGAAGTGAGAGCCAGGGGGCATCTTTCTTTCATAACTTATGGACAAACACAAAAAGTCCACCTGGAGTCTCCATGACCCTCTAAAACTGGAGTCATTACCCAAAACAAAGGGGTCATGACCCCATTTGTTAAGGGTCATGGAGACTCCAGGCAGCTTTGTGTATGCCACGAACATGGTCCAGACCCGAAAAGTAAACGAAAGTCCGAAACGGAACTCAGGAAGTGAGAGCCGGGGGCCATCGTTTTGTCAGAACCCATCGACAAACATCTGGGGCCATTGTCTTCTCTTCTTCGTTTTCTCGAAACCATTTCGGGCAAAAAACAAGCCGAAAGCCGAAAGCGAGTTCCAATCCCTTCGGGTTCCAATGGAGCACATGATTTTGGTCCATTCGGGACATCCAGTTTGTTGGAACCCATTTGGCTATAAATTCCCAGCTGGACTCTGAAATCAACAAAAGCAAGTAATTAGTTGACATAGATCCAAACGGATTTCTGATGTCCACAACCCCCCGCTAAATCGCCATGTTGCGAAATCGCTATTTTTCCAGACACAAATACCCTGAAATCAGTGCCACAGTTAATGTTGGAAGAAGAAGCAATTCGCTCGCAACTGGCCATTTGGCTGTAAACTTCAAGAGGAACCACCAAACTCAAGTGGCTGGTGGACATAAATCCAACCGACATCTGATGACCACCAAAGGCTTCCCTATTGAAAATTGTGTACCTAGATCGCCAGTTGCGGTTTTCGCTTTTCCTCCCCCAGCAACTCTGGCGCTGTCTTTGGGGTATTTCGTGTCTGGAAAAAAACGATCGCAACTTGGATCGATCCAGGTAGTCCTGGGCCCATACATCATCCCCTGGCGACGTCCCACCCCACCTGGTTCTCCGAGATGCCCGCAATCTCCGCGATCTCCTCGTAGCTCATTCCCTTGTCCTCCGGGGGTAGATGGGAAACCGCCTAACCAAACCATCCAAACCAGTCGAGGCAGGCAGAGATTGTTTGGTTGATTGTCGCGCTGGCCTTTTTCTTTCTGCATTGTGCAGGGATCCTTGCATTATACACCTGAACATTGCCTTGTAAATGGTGGTGTCCTTGTATTTTGGCGAAACAAGCCATGTTTCAAATGCGCAACATGTATCTTTTAAGGAGCCCTGCAAAACGAGTGCTGAAACCCAACTTTTCTGAAGTTGCCTTGGTGCTACTCTGAGGTTCCTCTAGGGGTTGATTCCCCATTCTTTTCAACCATCGTTCTTTCCAAAAACCGGATCCGTTTTCCCTGGGTTTCCGGAGGTTTTCTAGAAAGATCCGGATCCCTGGAAGGAATCAACCCCTAGAGGTCCGAGCAACTCGGAATCCAACTAACTTATATCTGGGGCCACTCAATCTGTGGCTCAGTTCCTACAAGTCCCCTGGACCAAACAAATGAGAACATCATGTCCAGTGGTTTCCCTTCAAAAACCCACCATGTGTCCCAGGCCACCCTTGAAGTGTGTCGAAGATGTGAGGTGGCGCGCCCGGACGTCTTTTTGGGGAGGTTGGGCGAGCCCACTGCAAATTGACTCAAGTGAAGCCATGCTTTCAACATGCGGCCGCTTGTGGATTGCGAGGTTGCAAGAGGGCATGCATCAGGGTGTTCCCCAGGTTGCATGAAAAGGCGTGTGAGGTCTTGTACGCATATTATAGATGGTGGGGCGCTGAACCAACAGAAACCCCGCAATTTGGTCGAGTCTGTCGTCGAAACCCCTGCACTGAACTCCTTGATTTACAATTCTAGCTGTGGCCATCCCTGGCTTTAAGCAAAATGCCCAGTTGATCTGCTTGCCCAGATTCCAGTCAAAACAGCCATTGCGTCTAGGTCCTCTAGTAGAGAGGTTAGAATAAGGGGACCCATTTTTTCCGTAGTCTATTTCAGTAGGGGAACACTCCCCCTAAAAAAGAAATGGTAAAAGGGCACTACTGGGGACCTAGACATGTTTGAGGATGAAGTTTCATGGGATGAAGTTGGCATCCGCTCAAGGATGTTGAAGGGATTGGTTTCTATCCATGCTCCTAGGTAACCAAGCCGTATCCAGTCGCTGTGAGAATATGTTCCATTTGAATGTTCAAAACGACTGACAGGTCGCAATGGGATCTCCATTTTCTGAGGGCCATTTTGTTGAGGGTGACGTGGACAAGAAGAGAATAGTTTGCAACTACTGTAAGACCCATAAAACAAAAACAAGCACGTGCACACTTAGAGTATATCTTGCCACCGAGAACCATGACAAGAACCTGGGCTGCCTTCAGATCGCCTGCTAAAAGCTTAACCTTTAGCGGGTGAAATGGAAACTGCCACCAAACCAACTAAAAACGCAAGAAAGCCAAGGAACCGGATGGCAGGAAGCCGCCGTGACCCCCCAACACCCCGTATTTGGCGTTGCACCCCCATGAAAGACTTGCTAATCCAATTTAACTTCTGCAATTTATAACGTTTCAACAGGTAAAACATGGCAGCTATAACCTTTTAGTTTAATGGGACCTGCTCAAGGAAATCCAAAGAGCAAAACCAACAAAACAAATAAGTTCCAGTTTTTCGGGGGGATCCCCCCAAAAAAGAGAGAAACACCCGTATTCACCACCACCCCGCATGGGTAGACCATGGGTGAAACTCGCGTTGCGCGCCGAGACGCCATCGCCAGGCGCTCAATCATCAGCTGCGAGTGCGTGCTGATGTTCTGCATGAAGCTGCCTGGCGAACCGAACCCCTTGGGCCCCTTGGGTCTCTGAAAGTGATTTGAGAATACCTGAACCCTCAAAATTCCAACTTAAAAATGGGTTTGACCCCCAAACTGTGGGGTGATATCCCTTGTTTATGGGTAGTTTGAGGGTCCAGGTATGTCCAAATAAATTAAATAGTTATAATGAAGATAGGAAAGATGTAAGTAACAAAGTATGTAAAGCTCTAAGAGAACGGTTCCTCAAAATTCCCTTTTGGGGGCCAGAACCTGCCTCTAAAAACAAAAAACACCATCTAAGGTTCAAGCGAACATCTGGCAAAAGGCAGGTGCCCTGAAAAGAGAGCTGTTGAGTTTAGAAGGTCAAAAATAGTTCTTCGGTTTGCTTTCCGCAGAAGAAAACAACATATGTCCAATAATATATTCTATCATTCCAGTCAAAACCAACAGGGGAAATATACAAATATGTTTAATATTGTGAAGGTTTTTTGGTGGACAAAAAAGCGACGGGAAGAACTATGGCCATGGTCCACATCGCTCAGGTAATCCTTAGATAGATTGCATTGGTGATTGCCCAAATGAACCCCGATTTGCAAAGGAGTAGAACAAACTTACTTCCCAGATTAACATGGGGTTTCACCAAGCCATTTGTAGAGGAAGCTCCTTTTGCACCCTCCCTTCCCCTTTTTGGGCAGGGGAGTAACCAACTCAAAGGTTCAACATCAACCGCGACATCCTTCTAAGGAACCCAGTCTCAAGCAAACTGAACCGTGAGCTTGGTCACAGTGCAACTCGACTTCAACCTTCCTCTTTGTTAATCATTCTAGCCAAGAGTGACTTTCCATTGCCCTTTTGAGTATGGATGGCATGAAAGCCGTCGAAAAAAACCGGTGGAAAGTGCCTCGTTTCTGACCAAACTAAGCCAGTGGATCCGGTTTCCCTAAAGGTCATGCCACGCCAGTGCCACACCTCCCTTTCGGCCATGCAAGCACCAGCTCCGCAAACACGAAAAAAGGCGATGAATCTTCCAATCCCAGAAGGCGCTCCGCAAAGTCATCCATTTCTCCCACATCGGAGAACTCATCAGGCTCCCACGAAATCGGAGCATTCATCAGACTGACTCACAATATCGCAAGTCCTGGAGACTCAGCTCCGCCATTTCCACGGTCACGACGGAAATCCTCCAAGGACTCTAGTTGGACTTGTTGGTCTGACCATAAATTCTCACTGCCTGAGTGGATGGCCCAAAAAAAGTCTAAACTTTAAATTTGCCACCAAAATGGTCTTCAAAAAGTTTAAAGTTCATGAACTCAGGAAGTGAGATAAACATGGGAAAGCTTTCCAGGTGGCAACCCCAGGAAACCGAACCGCCGGCATTTTGGGGGCTCCGAATCCATAACAAATGGGTCACGAACCCCGTAGCACAAAAACTGGGCCCAAAGAAACTGGGACAAGAGGCTTCCATTTGCTTTCTCGCGGTGAAAACATATTTCCAGTTGCAAAATCGATTCCCGTTAAAATCAACCAAGGAAAACAAACCCCGGCCCCAACTCCACCCCCCCTCCCACAACCCCCCCCCCCCCCGCCAACAACCCAACCCAAGGGAAAAAAGAAGCACAACATATTCCTTTCGGCAAATCAAACGAGAGGTTCCCCTTGGCTTCCGCTCGCGGAAGCGAGCCCTTCCGACCCGCCCAAAGGCCTTTGGGTGCGACACCTTGGGCAGAGCCCCAGGCCCGCGCCTGCGGATGAAGCAATCTGTTTGGATCACTTGGCAGGGCTGTGGGAAATGGAATCCACTGGCCTGTGATACAAACAGGGCCTCCCACAGACCCCCCATATAAAGAGGGGAATGCCCTTGTATCACAGAAGCGGGGAAAAACCCTGAGTGATCCCACAACCCTGCTTGGGGGGGGGGAGGGGTGAGTGGGTGGGTGGGTGGAGGGGTTCAAAAATCGGTGGAAAAATACGGGTTGCCCTGATAAATGGAAACGGCCAACACGTTTTGGTGGTGGAAATGGCGAAAAAGAATGCCTACAACTTTCTTGCTTGAAGAGCAGGTGCTGCAGGTCCTTGGTCAGGGTGCTGTTTGCTGTTTGGAGTTCGCTGAAGGTGCTATGGTGGGTGCTGGCCTTGCCTATTTTGCGATGCAGTCAGGGTGTCAGGGTGCTGTTGCGCTGAAGTCGGGGTGCTGTGGGTGCTGCTGTGGGTGCTGTGCGCTGGTTAGGTTGCTGTTTGGTCTGCTGCGGTGGTTGCTGGCGTGCAGCCGGGGGCAGATCAGTTTGACGTGATCAAGCTACGATGGCACTTGCTTTTGGTGCTTGTTTGGGATGCTGGTCAGGGTGCTGCTCAGAGTGCTTCTTGGTGGTCCGCTGCTGGTGGTTTGTGCTAAAGGAAAACCAACCAAATGCTTGGTTTTGCCTTTGGTTTCCCTTTGAACCACAAAAAGGGCTACCCTCGAGATCAGATACACCCACATGAGTATGACTGTCAATTGCCCTCCCATGGCCATCATGTACGAGGGGGTCAAAGGAAGACTCCCTGAAATTCATACCCACATAAAGAAAACCTGGTGTTGTGAAGGCCTACCTAAAATGAAGCTGAGGCTTTGAGTGACCTGTGCTGAAACATGAGAGACAAGAGCCGCAGGGGTTTAAAGGACCTCCATCGGAAGGATGCTTCCAAAAGGCCTTGGTAAACGGAGTCTTTCAAAGAGGTTCTGGGAGCTTCCATGGAATCGCCTGGGAGAGGGAAGAACTAAGACTTTGAGAAGTGAAATGCCCTCTGTCCTCACTACCAACGGGGGAAGCGGGCGGGCGGGCACCCTCGGAATTCCATACAGTACTTGGGGGTGCGGACATTCAAGAAAGACTTTATGTGAAAGCCTTTCTTTTTCAAACACGGCAGGCTTAAAGTGGCGGAAGGCGGGAGAAAGCTTCCCTTCCTGGCGCTTGTGTATAGCCAAAACCCGAAAACTGCAGTGAGCTCAGGTTGGCTGTCATGGGTCCTTTCGGAACCCTTGGAACGGTGCTCTAAAACCCTGAAGGGTTGATGACCAGGACGAATCGTAAATAGAGAGTAATGCCTTCCCCCTATTAAATGCACCCTATTAACTAATTAGTATTGATTGCAATTGTCCAATACCCGGCCCTAACTCCAGTCTTATTAGAGGACATGTCCGAACTAATACCAGACCAATGCTAAACCAATGCTAAACCAACTTGATCCAATGCTAAACCAATTCGAAGCCAGCACAAATCCAACAACATGACTTAGATTTCTGCTGTTTGAATTCCTTCGGAAATTGCAACGTTCAACGATTGTGGGGCCCGGAAAGGGGGACCTATTTGGACAAGGCCGGACCCCGCGAAGAATGTTGACCATCATGTGCTATTTGATACCATCCAACACAAGGGTTCCCGATTTTTATACATGCCCCGGTCAAAATGACTTGACTGTTGCTTTTAGCGATGCCATTGCTTGTAGCCATTTCTCTTACCTAAGGGGTGAACAACACAAGCGAAGAAATGCAATAGCGGGGCCTTGCTTCTGAGTGGTTCAAAACCACCATTGGTTGGGTCACGGGATGTATATGTTGGTTTCACCAACCACCAGCGGCTTCACTGGCAAACATCGCGGTGAGTCACCCGATGTAACACTTGAGCAAACATGAGCTGGCAATCACAGGCCTATCCCAACCGCCCAGTAATACAACGGTCCGAGGTCCAACATAGTGGAGCACTAAATATTACCAAGGCAGGGCGCCAAAACGGGAACCCAACTTCTACTTGCAAATGGTTGTGTCCGTCACAAAGGGCATCTGAAGCCATGTTGCCAATGTTTAAGGGTAGTTTGCGAGTTCACCTACCCTCAAACAAATAGCTTCAGCAAACAGAAGCCTTGCTCAAAAAGGCCAGCAGTAGGAAATTCTACCAGAATTTGGCAATTCAAATGTCTTTACCAAACACCTGGGGGCCTTTTGACTTTTAAACTGGTTCTTAGAGTTGCGCGTGGCGCGTTCGCTTCGCTTCGCTTCGCTTCGCTTCGCATTTCGATTTCGGCCTTCTTGGTTTTCATGGGCGGCTGCTTCAGAGTTCCGCCCGAGCCGTCGGACATCCACCTCGGGCGGAAGCAGCTCCGACGCGTGGGTTTTCACTGCTTCAGGATTCCTACTCTGGATGGTTGCAAAATCCCTTCGCGCCAAGAAATGAAACCATCCTGGCTCGCCAGCTGCGATCGCTGCTTTCCACGCACTTTACCCCAAAAACCAGCAACAGCGACTGAACAAAGCGGCAACTTGGCTATCCAGGATGCTTCAAACTACTCCGTTTCTTGGTATTTACGTTGGGGGAATCTTGTGATTCCAGGGTGTTCGTATAATCACCAAATGTCATCCCAAGCGTTCAGAAACCTGGAATCATTTGGTCCCCCTGGAGATACCAACAATGGACTCAACCTCAACCGTGGGTTGAAAGTTGTGCAGGATTTGGTCCATCCACAGTATGAGTCACATCAAAAGAAGGTATAAAAGTGGCCAGAGGGCAAATATCCGCACTTATGACGGGCGACTATCCGGGCTTTAATTCTTCCCGGCCATCCACCAATGAGCCCGTGCAAATGCGGGCGCCAAAAGCAAGACTGAGAATGGCTGTGCCAAAAATCGCAGCAGGTGTCCTGGCGCCATCTGGGTGTGTCTATTTTAAGGGGTCAAGAAATTGTTGAGTTCCTTTTGGTATCCCTTTCAAATTGCCAACAAGGGGTACCCTCATATGAATACAGACCCTTCTTTTTTCAGGGTAAGAAACTACGGCTCAACCCGCATACAACTGGTTGACCCAACTTGGATGATGAAACTTAGGCCAACAATGGTGGGTGTTCTATTCACCACCGTTTTCATGGACCAGGAATGTCTTGGAGCCGGGTCTGGAAACATCTGGAGCCAAGGTCGTCTTGCCACGCCGATCGCCAAGACATTTTCCCACCCAAAGAAAGACGAACGCAAATGTGGCGGTGCTTCTCAAAATAGCCCCCTAAACAAACACATGCTCACAGACTCACACACTGACATCAGAAGTCTCCCTGCTTCCAACCAGCACTTGGCCAACTCTTGTGACATATAACTGCAAACTCTTGAGATCAAAAAGCTGGTCCTGAATCAGGTGGTTGTTGGTCTCTAAGGTCTCACAATCCGTATATACAGTACTTTCTGGCTTGCGTGAACTTGGGTTTTAACGTCCACCCTAATTTTTTTACTCCTGTTCGCACTGTTCGGCCTTAGCGATTTCTGTAAGGGCAGCACAGTTCCTACAGTACCAAAGGCAGTCTTAAACAAAGTGTCAACCACAAAGCACAACCCAAGCTGTGGCCAACATCTGGGCTAGACATAAAATTGTATGTTTGGAATCTGTTTCACTAGTTCTTATTTCGTCTACCCCAAAATGTTTGGAATCGTTTTAGAGGAGACCCCAGCCAGAGGCAACAAGCACAGCATCGGCCGGCTGGGCCCTTGGCAGCTTCCGACCAATGGTCTCCAAACCCTTCTGAAAGATCCCGCCCTGCGCCGACGCGGGTTTCTTAAAAACTGCGCTTTCAGCGGAGGGCCTCGACCCCCCTTGAGGGCCCCTTTGTTCTGCCTTGATTCATAAACAAGGGTTACACAAGGACAAAAAGGGGTTCTTTGTCCAGAGTCCAGGTTCCGCGATGCTCAAACCAATTTTTCAGACGTAATCACTACTGCCAAGCATCACTTTGGTGGGCAAAACAAAAACACACACGTTCCTTACGTTCCTTAAGGGTGGTTTGAGGTTCTCCCAGGTTCAACTCCCATACCCGAAACCTTCCTTGTGTGCGACCATGGTTTTCCAGACTGACATGGGGGCCATTTAGGCATGTGTCTTGAAATAGGGTTGTTTTTTGCTTGGTTGCTGTTGACCCCTGCAAAAAGTGTTTCACTTTTTGGGGGTTTATTGGAAAACACCTTTTATTTTCCAAAAAGCTAAAGTCTAAAGATGCGTTGCCCAATAGCAGTCCAGTTTGCTGGTGTCGGTTGGTTTCCCTTAAGCCCACAGGACCTTTGGGGCCATGACTCAAACTTGGGGTCAAAAGGTCGGGTTGGGAAGTTTGGAGAAGTGAGCTTTCTTCCAGGCACTTTACCCTAAAACCAGTCACAGTCGCAGGGATAAAGCGACTCGCAACTGGCAATCCGGGTGGTCCCTTTTGAGGCTCCAGTTAATTGGAGTGGCCTGGCACAGAAAAACTAACAACGGGGGCCGTGGTGTTTATGCCCTTTTTGGGGCTGAACCCACCTGAAAGTCTACGCGAAATCCATGGGTCAATGCACCCAACTGGTTGGGCGGCTTGCCGCTCATTGGGCTTTGCGGAAGCGTCGAACGTAGCTTCCAGCGGCCGTCCTTGTGGACCAAATCCCAATAGTGTGACGCTGCTGTGTCCGCATACGTTCCTCCAGAGGGGATCTTGCCGTGTTCTTTGCAATGCAGCAAGCCCCCAGATTTTGAGGCTCCCTCCCAAGGCTGCCCCGGCGTACAAGCCGTTGGCAGGGAACCACATGTAACCCTCAGCGGGTCCAGGCTCGACATCCCAACTGGGGCGAATCAGGTCCTCATGAAGAATGGCCGGAACTGCATCCACCGCGGTGTTGTGGGCGCAATCAAAAGCCCAAGCGGGTCGGACATAAGCGACATATGTGTCTCTTTGTGGGGGGGTCCGCATTTAGGCAAGTTCAGGTTGGTTCAAAAGAGTTCCTCCCAAAAAACGGTTCAAAACAAGGGGGTCAAACTTCTGCGGAGACCCTGTCTTTCACTGCAGTTTCGAAGCTCGGCGCAGTCGAATCGCAGCGGCGCCTTCTTCTCCTGGAGTCGGAGTCGGAAACTTGAGCGCCCAACGCCCCACGTTAGGACCCTCATACCCTAAGGCTGTGGGTCAAAAAAGACGAACACCTGCGGTTTTCTGGTGGGTTTAGTGGGTCAAAAATCAGTACCCAAAATGGGTTGCCCTGACAAATGGAACCAAAGACTAAAACCTGCGGTCCAATTCCTGGTGGGTTTATTTTGACCACCCTCATAAGGCGTCATTCGTCACTGCGAAGAGGTTCAGCTCTACTGAAAACCTGCAAAAGGAGAACAAGTTCTTCTGGCTCGCGCAAACCATCCTTCCCGGGTGCGGGTCGATCTTTGTTCAAACCAACAAAAGTCCTTGGAGTAAGGTTGACCCCCTATCCAAGTAGACCTCTGCCTACTAACGGGGGGTTGGTGTTGTTTTCCCTCCAAAAGCGATAAACACCTTTAAAAAGGACGACGCAAAATGGCTGTGGCTCAAAAAAGTGGTACCAAAATGGCACCTTGGTAAATGGAACCAAAGACTAAAACCCGCGTAACCCCAGCTCTTTAATTTTGAGCCATACCCATGAGGCGATGAATCCGCTGTTCCCATGTCCCCAACCAAAACTCAGGGCCGCCTCGGCCTTCCTCGGCAAAAAAATCGATCAGCTCAGCTCCCCTTCCGCCAGCCGGTAGAATGGGATGTACCAAACAAAACTGCCTCATACTGTGGGACGAAATCCGTGTGCACCACCTTGAAACCCTTTTTTTGTTGGCATTGACAGGGGAGTCATAAAAAAAAAAAAAAAACTGGGTTTCTTGGGTGGTGCGAACGGATTTCGTCCATCCACAGTAGGGCACGGTGAAAGGTGTACAGGCCCCTTAGAATTTACCTTTCCCATGCTTCACCAGGCGAGCGATGCGTTGCAAAGACCCGCAAGACTCGCTCATGGGAGGCAATTGGTCCACCCGTGGACCCTAGTCAGGTTCAATGTTTGTGGGAGCATTGAAAGTAGCCATCTGAGCCGCCTTATTCAAAAGGCGGCTCGTCCGTTTTTTGAGGGAACCATTTTTAAGGGAAACACAGAGAACCCCACGCCCTTGTTTTTTGAGGAGGGGGGGTGCGCAAGTGTTGACTAAAAGGAAATAGGACAATTGGCTGGTCGCCCTGGCTGTGGAGAATGGAAGACACCCCCTCTGGCCACATCTCCTCAAACCATCACTATAACTGTGTCAAACCCTTCTGTGAATAACACCAAGATGTTTCCCTTTACAACCCCCAAACAGTGGTACCCCTTTTGAACATCCCCCCTAAAACCCCTTAAACCCCAACACACCCACCTGGATCGCCAGTTGCGATCGCTTTTTTTCCATCCATTTCACCCCCAAAAAACAGCAACAGTGACGAAAAAAAAGCGCTCGCAACTCGGCTATCCAGCGTATCTAGGCAGGTGGTTTGGGGGGTGGAAAAACCCCAACCATCTTCGCGTTGTTGTTTTCTTCTTGTTTGTAAGAAAGCGCGGCGTCCTTTCCCCAGTTCTTTGGGCGGTCACCTTGCTCCACGGTCACAAACCTCATCGAAAGCGATCCGGGGCCCGGGGCGGATAGATCGCAAGTCACCCGCGGATCGATCCACGAGAAAGGGGGCCCCAAACATGAAAGGCGAGACAGTGGATGGCTGCAAAAAATCCGCATTTTTCGCACCACTGAGAAATACCGTGGTTGAAACCATCTTTCGGGCTGGTATTTGCAGGGGCATGAGCAGAAACCAGGGGTTTTTCTTAGGTGGTGCAGGATTTCGTCCATCCATAGTATCACCCGAAACGGACCATCACCAAAAATGGAAAAGTGAACCAGGGGAAACTAAGAAAAGGTCCCTTCAGGTCGACTCCGGCTGGACACGTGAGGCCAAAACCGGTAGACACAAGACTGGCATGCCGTTGAATTCAACCAGCTGATGTCGACCCCGGATTTTCCTGAACCTGGGCTTATGGAGCTAGCAAGTCCCCCCAGTGATCCAGATCCCCTGTGCCTCCAGTTTTGGCAGGCTCAGCTTACCCACAACACATCGCCATAGTGAACATGACCCTTTCTGCCATAGAGGGCCATCCATATGGGATTACCTTGGTATGGCCACCCCGGAAAAATAACTTCCTGGTTGATTTTGAGGGGTGTCCCCTTTTAGTCGGGATTCAGACCACTTTTTGGACACAACGTCCCCCTATCAATGGGACAGGTTCCACTTAGATCTAGGGTCAACATGATCGCAAACATGGGCAACCTACCGTGTCTCCCACAAACACTGACTGGGCTGTCATACCTCTCCCCCAAACGCAACTGGCCTTCAAACGCCCTGCAGCCCAAGGGTTTCCTCCAACTCCAAAGGATCCTGCTGCGAAGTTTATGATTTCTACCACCCAGGGGCTCCTGGCTTCGGCTTTCAATGGAAGACCCAACCCTTCCATTAGATACCCCGCTGACCAAGGTTGGGGGTCTCAAAACCAGGTTGGTGGAAGGCCCTAAATCAATCGAATTGGAGCCTCTGGGCACAAACTGGACCTCACTTCCTGAGTGGATCGGCAAAAAAGTCAAACGGTTTGTTTTATTTACTACTCAAATGGTTTTCCCCCAACAAGAAGTACAAAGTCCAACAACTCAGGGAGTGAGAGACATAAGGTTTCGGCTCAAAATAGGGGAAACCCGAAGTGGGCGGCTTCCATTTTGTGCTCCTAATCATGCCCAAAACGAGGCTTAAACAACAACACCACTCCCGTACAGAAGACCCAGGGATCTTCTTGGGGGACAAGTCCCTCGTTCCCGAATGGGCGAGCTCTTTCGCTTCAAGTTGCCCGGCTGAAACTCGAGCCCCGTTCGATGGCCCAAACAGCCCTGACCCCTTTTTGGGTTTGAAGAATTTGACACAAACCCCGGAGAAGTCAACCTCACTGTATTCGGGGAAAACCGTCTTTCGGGTTTCGTGGGGAATCGGAATCATACCACTCTTGGAGAGGTCCACCCCCCATGTGGGTGAACCTCAACCAATACCGGGCTCGTTTCCGGGGCTTCTCGACTCCGGGACCCACCACTCGTTTCTGTTGACTCCACACGGTAGTTGGGGCACCCGATCCGACTCCTCGCTGCCATTGCATTTTTTTTTCGAAACTGCGTCCATCACCTGTTCGCTTCCTTTTCCCAATCATGTTGTTTTGTTAGATGAAAGCCAATGTTTGTCCAAAGACTTGGATACAAACCAGTGCTTGTCCAACAACACATGAACAAAGCAACCACCAGCCGATCCTTTTTGGTGAGGGGACCGAATCGACAAACCAAACAAAAACTGGAGCCCCCCCTTAAGGAAAAGTGCCTGGGGTCTGCGCGCTTGTGAGTAGAGCAGGTCCGGCGCGATGTCGTCGGAGGTCTCAAGACCAAACAACCTAATCTGCGCGGAAAATCGGCGCATTGTTTCCAAAAAAATGGGACACCCTGTTCCAAACACTCTCGCTTGTCAGATGATGAAAATTTACATGTTGACCAACAAAGGAGGTATTTACCCGGCAAAAAAAAAAACAACATGTTTCTAAAGATACCCTAGCAAAAGTGGGTATTTGGAATGGGGGTCACCTTTTTGGTGAACCCTAAACAACGTGGATGGTTGCCTTGAGGTCCCAAACCTGGTCTCGGCCAGCCCATTCCAATGGAGGGTCCAGGAGAACGCCCTCCCAGAACAAAAACAAGACCTGTGGGCTGAGGCTTCGGACAAAGTGCCTACCTGTCTTGGATGTGACCACACAGCTAGACCACATGTCCAACACCCATTTTTTCAGTCAGACATCCACTTGATACCGTGGCTGGACGAAATCTGTTCGCACCACCTGCAAACCATGGTTGGAACCATGGTTTGTTGGAATTGTTGTTGGGGAATCATCAGAAACCATAATTTCTTACGTGGTGTGAAATGGACTTCGGAACCATCAACAGTATTTATTGAAAAAAAAGGGCGCCCTAGTATCTTGGTAGGTGAGTCCATTTTTGAGGATCACCAACTCACTTGCCCAAGGGACCTGGGGAAAAAAAAAGTTCAGCTTGTGACCTTAAACCAAAACAAAAAAGAACAAAAATCACGGTCAGATCCGGTGGATTCAGGTCGTCCTCACAGCCCCAAGTACTTGGGTGTGGAAAAACAAAACCAAGGTCATATATTACTACGTAGGTTGCAACTTCATGGTGAGATGTGTGCGCAGGGAATACCATTTATTTTTCTACAAGGGGGGGGCCTTTCCACTGGTGCTACTGTGGATGGACGAAAACCTGCACCACCTAAGAAACCCTGGAATGATAGATCCCCTTGTAAACCAAACACAAATGGCTTCTCATGGTTTCCAAGCGATGCGAACGGATTTCGTCCATCCACAGTCTGCTTGGGTAGGCAATAGGTAAAGCCCCCTCGGGTAGGCCTTTGGTGCTCGTCCATTGGCCCCAGGAGCCCGGTGAGCTAAGTTTGTGCCCCTCCTTCAACAGGCACGAGGGCACCGAGCAAAGTTCCCACTGGGGGGAGATCGGCTCGGCTTTCTGGAGGCTACCCCAAAGGGGGACAGCAGGTTTTCAAAGGGACGGCAAAAACTGGGTTGCGAAATCTGCGAAGCCCTGCTAAAAGTGAATAACTTCTAGTGGGTTTAATACGGAAAACCCATTGGTCGGCAAAAAGTTAAAGTCCTCACATCCCTTGGCAAAAGGCACCAAAGAAAAGCACCACCCACTTTCAAAGGTTCCAATCCTTGTTTTCTAGGCTGGAAAAAGCGGACCCCAGCAAAAATATATAAACATTGCTTGGTTCGTGGAAAACAAAGGGGGCCCCAAAAAAGCAAAAAGGAAAAAGGGGAGCTAATTCCGGGGAAGTTTTGAGATACCCACCATTGTAAAAACTTCTATTGGAAGTTCTGAAGCTCGGACAGGGTTGACCTCAGCCCCGTCATTTGGAGGCATCCAAATTTGTCCTAAAGCCAGGGATTCAATAAACGATCTGTTTCATCGTGGATTGCTTTGGATTTGGATTTTTGACACCTGGAGTTTTGGTACCCAACTAAGCCAACCAACCCAACTCTTAGAAACACGGGCACTTCGGCTTCGATTGCTTTGATTGTTTATTGGGCTCCAAGCTTCCGGGTGATTTCGACACTGGCCCAAGTGTATGCAACCCTGCTATTACTTCAGGCTAGTCACCAGCTGGCAAAACAACGACTAAAACCTACTGTGGATGGACGAAATCCTGCACCGCGTTGAGAAACCATTTGTTGGTTGGCCAGGGGTTCTTAGGTGGTGCAGGATTTCGTCCATCCACAGCATGTCATTGGGGGATCATGAGTGCTGCAGTCATGAAGGTTTGGAGAAAGGGCAAAGCTATACACTCCAAAGCCACACCCCTGCAAAAGAGAATCCTTAACTCGCCCCCTAAGAGGTGTTGAAGAAGTAGCACCTACCTGCGAGCCATTCGGGGGAAGGGCCCGACGGGCCGGGGGGGGGGGGGCTGCCTTTTCTCTCAGCTATTTGCTGTGGACCACCAGGTCCCCTCGCCCCCCGAAAAAAAAGAAAGGGGTTTGATTCACCAAACCCTGGTGCCCTTTAAAGAGAAACCGGGCTGCTTACTTGGATGTTCAGCCTAGGTCAGGTAAGTAGGATATAACATGTAATAACCAAGGATAGTTGACTGGGGCAACTGGGGTTAGTTGGCCTTTTACCACAGTTATAATCTACTTGATGTAGGTTGAGCATTCAAGCAAAAAAACCGCTGAATGCCTCTCAACAAGTTGCTTGACATGTTGACCACGGATCTAGGCAAACCCCGCCCTATTCATCGGGGGTGGAGAAACCTCCAAAGTGTCCCTTCTAAAAACCGACAAGCAGTGGGGAGCACCCGACCTCACCAGCCTGAAATAAGGTGGTTGGGAGATATTCCAACCACACAAACCACCATTTGGGGCGAGGTGTTGTGAGGTCGTTACAATCCACCCGGATGTAAAAAACAAAGCCAGTCAGGGCTGGGAACCCCAGGTGCTCTTCCTGCAACCGCCGCTCCACCAGCCCCCGGCCGCTTCCACGTCCGAGCAGCTTCACAGAGACGAGTCTCAGCAGCGGCACGTAGTCCACGGACAATTGCCGCGGGCCGCCGAGCCTAGAGTTGCGAGCCCCAGGTCTCGGCAGCTCCCCCAGCAAAAAGCTCACCTTTTTGTAAACGCCAACAAACTGCCAGTCATATTGTCAGTTGCTGATATGAGAGGGTAATGGTAGCTGCTTCTACGATGCTGAAATGGGTATGGCTCAAAATTAAAGAGGAGGGGTTACGCAGGTTTTGGTCCATGTTTCCACTTGCCAGCAGCCTAAAAGTAGATATGAGGGGCATCCCAAAACAGGGGAGCCTTACATTCTACACCGATCGAGCATTGCAACTTGCAAATGGTGTCCAACTTTATTTTGGTGTGGAAAAAGCCAGCCACGTTTCAGATGGATGGGCAAAATGGAGATCTTTTCAGGAGCCCTGAAAAAGTTGAAGTCTAAAGATCCAAGAGCAGTGGAGCTGCCTTACCCACAAGGCTGGGGCTCCCAAGGTCAGCTTCCCTCCTGGTTTCTTTTGAAGCCCGGGTAGCTAGGCTGGAAGAAGCCAAGGGTTCCAAACCAAATCCAAAACACCAATCCAAACCACCACAAGCAAGAATAAGCAAACATGTGCAAAATGGGCTTCTTGTGGGGAAAATTCTATGGGCTACCCAGTTGCCGGGAAACTCACACTTAAAACTTCCGGGTGCAATCCCAACCGGTCCCACACGCTCTTCCATTTGCTTCAGCCCCCTGGAAAAATATTTCCTGTAGTGGCAGATTCCCTTTAAAACCAAGAGGGGGAAAAACAACATATTCTTAAGCAAAGGGGTCGAATCCCCCCAAGAGGGACATGCGTGGCGCCCCGTGAAATGTGTTGAACAATAAACCCAGGATGCTGTTGGGCTTTTCATGACCAAGGCCCACAAGCCTCACGCCTGTGCCTGGTTTCACCATTCAACATGCAGAAAAGTTGAGATCTTTGTGATACCAAACAGGAATCACTGCAACTTCCAGAAGGTACATGTTTCCGAGGTTTGAGAAAGCAAGCTATATATCTTCTGCAACAATGCTGCCGCTGATTCACCGCATCATGACACATCGCTCATTGGTAGGGAAAAGTTGAGATCCAACGGGCTGCCTTCTAGATGAAACGGACGTTGCGAGTTCGCACGAATCCACAAAGCCAAGAAGCGCCGTTTCGGCCGTTTGGCAAAAAGAATCGCAAGCATCACCAAGGCACCCTGCAAAGAAAGCACCGCCACCTGGACCCTCAAACTACCCATAAAAAAAGGGATATCACCCCCTAATTTTGGGGCTCAAACCCGTTTTTAAGTTGGAATTTGAGGGTCCAGGCAGGTGTTTTTTTCTGCCCAAGCAGAACTGGCCCTTCGCCTGTGACAGAAATGATGGGCTCGTAGGTTTCGAGAGACCCCGAATTTTGAAAGCGAGTGGATCCGGGGCTGTGCGCGAATTCGACGGTTGACGCCAAAAAACATCTACTTGAACCCTCAAAATTCCGACTTAAAAATGGGTTTGACCCCCAAAGTTATGGGGTGATATCCCTTTTTTATGGGTAGTTTGAGGGTCCAGGTATAAAATATATGTGGGGAGTGACCATGGGCCACCTTGTCCATCTAGTGGGACATATCATCCTTCTTTTTTGTGGCTTCCACCAATGGTCATCCGAAGTAAAGGACATTTTGATCAACCCCATATTTGTTGACCATCATGCTTGACGGGCAAATGGACCCGAAACATGTGAGTCATATCGTCATGAGGTTTTGGAAGGAAACCTCACAATCCCACATACTCCATGGAAGTAATGTGTACCAACGTTTGGCGCATTTGCAGGATAAATGAGAATCAATATTATGCTCTAGATTGTGGAGTGTCTCGGAATGGGCGATCGTCCCATTACTGCAGGGTAATCTACTAAGTTGGTTGAACAATCTAGGGAGCCCCCCCTTCCTAGACCTCAAAATATGGAATCCCCGAAATAGCCAGTTGAGACGCCTAGGTTTTTTTTAGGGACCCCCCCCTCCTAGACCCCAAGATATGGAATCCCCGAAATGCCAGCTGAGACCTATCGTTTTTTTCAGGGTTCCACTTCCCTTTTTACCTGGACCCCCCCCTTTCCTTTGACAAAATTCCCAAGCGGCTCGTGGGTGTCGCCCTTGGGCAAAACATGCACCACCGAGCTGGTCAGTGGCAGCTTCACCACCTCCAAGTACTCCTTGGACTTGTTGAACAACTTGTTGTTTGTCTTCTTTGTAGAGGTTGATTCCAATTCCATTCTTTTCAGCCATCGTTCTTTTCAAAAGCCCAGGGTTTTTGGTGGTGTTCTAGAAGGAAAGAATGGGACAGTTACCCCTGGATGGTTTTTTCTTTACAGGGTTTGTTTTCAGGTGTGTTGTTGTTTTCTCCTTGTACAGGGTGTGTTTGCTTGTTTTGAAGTAACAACACCAAAATTCACCATCCTTCATTTGTTGTAGCGCTCACGTGTTCGTCTGTTTCGATTGTTGGGTTTGTTCTTTAAACAAAGGCGAGAAAATACATGGTTGGTTTGCGGCACCCATGCACATAACACCCATACAGCTCGTTTGGGGGAGATCGTCTTGGCAAAGAGCAAGGTTGGACACACCGAGTTTTGTCTTTTGCAACACCCATCACGTGAGGTTAGCTTGGGTTTCAAGTTTTGCCCTTCGGCTGGCTTCGCTGCTTGCTTTCTTTAAGCAACAGAAACACGTTCTCCAGAAATCGGTGGCTTTGCTTGGTGTCAAGTTTTGGTTTTCTGGTGGCGGCAGGCTCACTGAACCCTTTTGTTCTTGTTTCAGCCGTGGGTCTGTCGTTCTGTCAGCGAACCCCTTGGTGGGGCTGGTAGTCTTTACGCTGCCGCGATTGGGATCCGTGCCATTTTGATTCACACACTGGGGGGGTTCCGAATATGGCATGACCATTGGTTGAAAAAACCAGAGTGAATATGTCAACCGCATGGAACAAGCTACCCATGCCCTTTCACGGCAATTGATCAACTCCAGCTGTCTCTGCCAGAGGCTAGAGTGGTTCGGCGCTCCAACAAAGCTCGTCCCAAAGTTTCACCACCCACCACCCACCCACCACCCACCACCCCCCACCAGCCACCACGTCTTGGTAAAGAAAAAGGAAACCACCCAAAACATAGGCCGCAGACCATGAGGCTACGTTAAAGAGATTCCAGTTATTTTCTGGGCAAGGACTTAATCCCGTAAAGCTTAAGTATGGGTGCCTGTGTCATCTTATTTTCCAGGGTGGGTGGTGGGTGGGTGGGTGGGTGGGTGGGTGGGTGGGTGGGTGGGTGGGTGGGTGGGTGGGTGGGTGGGTGGGTGGGTGGGTGGGTGGGTGGGTGGGTGGGTGGGTGGGTGGGTGGGTGTGGGCAGGTGGGTGGGTGGGTGTGGGCAGGTGGGTGGGTGGGGTGGGGGGGTGGGTGGGGTGGGGTGGGGTGGGGTGGGGTGGGGTGGGGGGGGTGGGGTGGGGTGCGGCGGATTGCGGTGGGGTGGGGGTGGGGTGGGGTGTGGGGTGTGGGGTGTGGGGTGGGGTGGGGTCCCAGTGAGCTGGCTTGAACTGCACCCCTCTCCTGCATGGCAACGCAAGTGTCTGCTGGTTTTTTTCAGGATGTGGAGCCAGGAGAGGGTGGCCTGTCTTGCCTGTGGAAGTCAAGGCTTTCCTGAGTTTTTCTCCTGCTTCAACGAGGAGCTCTTCGTGGGCAGCATTCATTCCATCATGCAGAATGCTTCTCAGCCTCAATGTTTGAGGCTTCGATGAAATCTCCAACCCGCCAGGAAATTGTGACTTGGAACCTCTCTGCTGGCTCGGTTCGCGTTCGGCGGCATCGTCGTCCGCGTCTGCTGCCAGCTGGCAGCGGGTTCGCTACTGTCCCAGTCGGACGGCTCGTCATCAAGCCCCTTCTCGGACACAGTGTCCTCGCTGGCTGTTGGACCCTTCCGAAGAGGCCCAACACACCGCTCAAGCGGCGCATTTGGTCCTCGACATACTCCCGCGCAGCCTGTTCGCAAACAACGGCAGTTCGACGAGTCGCAACATTTTTTGAAGCGCGCCAAGACGGAGGACAAACCGAGGCTTTGGTGCTCATTTTGCACCGCCCCTTGCTCATCCGAGCGACCTAGCATCACCAGCACGAAGCAAATCTCCAGCATCATAAGAAAATTAAGGGCGAACCTTCAGGCGCATCACCCTCATGAAGAGCGCCTTCTTGGTATTTCCGCCGATCTGCTTGGCCTGCTTCTTCACCTTAACGCGTCGCAAGCCAAAAAGGATCTAGGATGAACGTACTCACCTGGCGGGAGTGCTTCTTCAGCGCCTCCTCTCACGGGCAACTCCCTCGAACATAGAGGAGGTGGCCGTGGTGGGTGCAAGTGGATCAGGCGCAATTTGGCGCAAGGTTTGGATCCAGCTAGGCTTTGCGCAAGGGAGCTTTCCGCAAAATTGCAACAACACCCTTACAGCTGACGAAGCTAAAGAAAACCGCAGCAGGGTGGGTGGGTGGGTGTGGGTGGGGTGGGGTGGGGTAGGGTGGGTGGGGTGGGGTGGGGTGGGGTGGGGTGGTGGGGTGGAGTGGGGTGGGTGGGGTGGAGTGGGGGGGGTGGGGTGGGTGGGGGTGGTGTCTGCCTTCATTCCATACCTGCAAATGAAAAGCTGCCACTCTTCCCAGTTCAAAGCTCGAAGCCTCAGTGAGCTGGCTTGAACTGCACCACCTCTCCTGCATGGCCAACGCAAGTGTCTGCTGGTTTTTTTCAGGATGTGGAGCCAGGAGAGGCCTGTCTTGCCTGTGGAAGTCAAGGCTTTCCTGAGTTCTTCTCCTGCTTCAAGGAGGAGCTCTTCATGGGCAGCATTCATTCCATCATGCAGAATGCTTCTCAGCCTCAATGTACAAGGCTTCGATGAAATCTCCAACCCGCCAGGAAATTGTGACTTGGGGCCTCTCTGCAAAGAGCCCCCCAACTTGGGGTGGGGTGGGTGGTGCTGGCTCGGTTCGCGTTCGGCGGCAGCGTCGTCCGCGTCTGCTGCCACCTCCGCCGCCAGCACTTCGGCTGGCAGCGGGTTCGCTACCGGACACAGTGTCCTCGCTGGCTGTTGGACCCTTCCGAAGAGGCCCAACACACCGCTCAAGCGGCGCATTTGGTCCTCGACATACTCCCGCGCAGCCTGTTCGCAAACAACGGCAGTTCGACGAGTCGCAACATTTTTTGAAGCGCGCCAAGACGGAGGACAACCGAGGCTTTGGTGCTCATTTTGCACCGCCCCTTGCTCATCCGAGCGACCTAGCATCACCAGCACGAAGCAAATCTCCAGCATCATAAGAAAATTAAGGGCGAACCTTCAGGCGCATCACCCTCATGAAGAGCGCCTTCTTGGTATTTCCGCCGATCTGCTTGGCCTGCTTCTTCACCTTAACGCGCCACAAGCCAAAAAGGATCTAGGATGAACGTACTCACCTGGCGGGAGTGCTTCTTCAGCGCCTCCTCTCACGGGCAACTCCCTCGAACATAGAGGAGGTGGCCGTGGTGGGTGCAAGTGGATCAGGCGCAATTTGGCGCAAGGTTTGGATCCAGCTAGGCTTTGCGCAAGCCCGCATTCACAACGCACTAACCTCATACGGGAGCTTTCCGCAAAATTGCAACAACACCCTTACAGCTGACGAAGCCAAAGAAAACCGCAGCAGGGTGGGTGGGGTGGGTGGGGTGAGTGGGTGGGTGTGGGTGGTGGGTGGGTGTGGGTGGGTGGGTGGTGTGGTGGGTGTGGTGGTGGGTGGTGGTGGGTGGTGGGCGGTGGGTGGTCGGGGGTGGGCCCCCTCTTTCTTGCCGTCTCAATTCCCCAATGCTTTCACTTTTCTGGCACCATGGTTGGGAACCCCGGATCCAAGCAGAACGGGCTTGATTTTGCTCCAGCACGTTCATCCCAAATTTCGAGGGGTTTTCCCCCCTATGGTTAGGTTCTTTAGATCTGGGGTCCACATGAGTTCATTGGCTCATCGATTTTCTCTTTCCTAAGCAATTGCCTCGGATCTTCTACGGTCCGCCGAAGTTCTGTCCATGCTGCATGCTGTACTCGCTGCCGAACAAGTGGATTGGCCAGAAACCGACTCGACCTTTTGCCTACTACTGAAACGGTCCAAACCCAAAAAAAAGAAGTCTACCATGAACATGGTCCAAACCCAAAAAGTATGAAGTCCATGGCTCAACTTCTTGTCTACCACTAAAATGGTCCAAACCCTTAAAGTATGAAGTCCATAACTCAACTTTTAGTCTACCACTACAATGGTCCAAACCCAAACAGTATCAAATTCAAGACTCAACTGCTTGTCTACCACTAAAATGGTCCAAACCCAAAAAGAATGAAGTCCATGACTCAACGGTTTTCCTACCTCTACAATGGTCCAAACCCGAATTTGTTTTTCTCCACGACTTAACTTCTGAAGTCCATGCCTCAACTTTTTGCCTGCCTCTAACCTGGTCCAAACCCAAAAAGTATGAAGTCCATGGCTCAATTTCTTGTCTACCACTAAAATGGTCCAAACCCCAAAAATGAAGTCCATAACTCAACTTTTGTTCTACCTCTAAACTGGTCCAAACCCCTAAAAAGTATGAAGTCCATGACTCAACTTCTTGTCCACTAAAATGGTCCAATCCCAAAAAGTATGAAGTGCATAACTCAACTTTTTGCCTACCTCTAAGTTGGTGTGGTTCAAAAAAGTTATTTCTTATAAATCTCTTGTATTTACCACCTACCTATTCTTATTCTCCTATCTTATCATTTTTATGTAGTTTTCACTTCTTTTGTTCTGTCAAACGGGCCTGCATGCGCCGGCCCTTTTTCTGGAAATGTCCTGGAACAGGCGAACCTTTTTCCCTTTTTGGGAAAAGATGGGGTGAAAAGGCAGATGACTCCGTCCTTTCCAGATGAAAGAAAGTAGGCTGTGGGAAGCTCATCGTCGGAGAACAGCAAGGTGGGATGGGGCATCCCACGCTCGTGTCTTTCCTCAAGAGGACCGGACTTCTGCAGATACCCCCGGTACAGCCGGTAACTGTACGAATGCATCTTGACCGTCTTATCCCCACACACCACTTCCGAGGCGATGTTTGGTCTTCGAGGCCTAGGCCGGGCGCGTGAAATAGTCCTCAACCACTCCGGGATGTCTGTGGACCGCACAGCGTACTGGTGTTTCAGGTTTCCCTTTGGGCGCCTCCCGGACAAGCCATAAGATTTGCTCTTCACCAGCTTACCCCCCAGCACGCTCTCGCTTGCCCGCAGGCTCGTCTTCCTCACGGTGCAGCACCTCTCCTCTGGCAGTGATGGAGTCATAGTGGGTGTGGCCGTTGTAGGCCAAGGGCGCCCATCCTAAGATAAGGTCGAAATAACCAAAGAATAAGGTTGAAGTGACCCAAGGATAAGAAGACTGCGAAGGTAGTTGCGGATCACCCGAGCACTGCGAAGACTTCCACGGTGATGGAATGAAGGGGCGCCAGTGCCCAAAGGGGGCATCGGGTCCCATTCCCACCTTGGCTCATCTTCGAGAGGTATTCATCTGGGCTCAGCCCTCCCTCCGCGGCGGCATTTCCGCCCAGTTGTGGCTGACTTGCAACCATTGCACCGCCTGCCTTCGCAGGACTTTGTGCCTCGAGCACTCGTTGCCTGGCATGATGGGGAAGGCAAGAGGTGACAAGGTAAAAGGACAAGGTGGAAACGGAGGCAAGGAAAACCTAACTTCAAAAAGTAGGAGGCGTCCATCGCCGTCTTAAAAACCCGAAACTGACACGCGCCGTCGCCGAGTCGCCGAGCACTTCCACGCGGCTCAGCTTTTCCTGGACCAAGACCTTGTCAAGCGGCGACCGAGCTGCTTTCCGCAAGGTCTTCCTCCACGTAGGAGGGAGCAAGCGCGAGCTGCACACGCTGCTCGTTGTTCGAACTTCGACATAGCCATTGTGTAAGAGGATTGAGGGTAGCGAAAGATGCTTGGGATAGCTGAAAGCTTAGAGCGGCTGCGGTAGCCGGAATTCCTTCCGAGAATAAGGTGGTAAAGACAACCTTATCATTGGTAAAACCAGCAAAAGTAGAAGGCGGTCCATCTGGGAGAAAATTAACCTATTACTAAAATGGTCCAAACCCAAAAAGTAACAAGTCCATGACTCAACTTCTTGCCTACCTCTAAAATTGTCCAAACCCAACAAGTATGAAGTCCATGACTCAACTTCTTGTCTACCACTAAAATGGTCCAAACCCAAAAAGTATGAAGTCCATAACTCAACTTTTGTTCTACCACTAAAATGGTCCAAACCCAAAAAGTATCAAATTCAAGACTCAACTGCTTGTCTACCACTAAAATGGTCCAAACCCAAAAAAGAATGAAGTCCATGACTCAACGGTTTTCCTACCTCTACAATGGTCCAAACCCGAATTTGTGTTTCTCCATGACTTAACTTCTTGTCTACCACTAAAATGGTCCAAACCCAAAAAAGCATGAAGTTCATGACTCAACTTTCTGCCTACCTAAAATATTCCAAACCCAACATGTATGAAGTCCAAGACTCAACTTCTTGTCTACCACTACAATGGTGCAAACCCAAAAAATATTCAGTCCATGACTCCCCAAAAAATGAAGTCCATAACTCAACTTTTTGCCTACATCTAAAATGGTCCAAACACATATAGTATGAAGTCCATGACTTAACTTCTTGTCTATCACTGCAATAATCCAGACACATAAAGTATGAAGTCCATGACTCAACTTCTTGTCTACCACTACAATAATCCAAACCCTTAAAGTATGAAGTCCATAACTCAACTTTTGGTCTACCACTAAAATGGTCCAAACCCGAAAAGTATCAAATTCAAGACTCAACTGCTTGTCTACCACTAAAATGGTCCAAACCCAAAAAGAATGAAGTCCATGACTCAACGGTTTTCCTACCTCTACAATGGTCCAAACCCGATTTTGTGTTTCTCCATGACTTAACTTCTTGTCTACCACTAAAATGGTCCAAACCCAAAAAAGCATGAAGTTCATGACTCAACTTTCTGCCTACCTAAAATATTCCAAACCCAACATGTATGAAGTCCAAGACTCAACTTCTTGTCTACCACTACAATGGTGCAAACCCAAAAAGTATTAAGTCCATGACTCAACTCTTGTCTAGCACTAAAATGGTCCAACCCCAAAAAATGAAGTCCATAACTCATTTGTTTGCCTACATCTAAAATGGTCCAAACACATATAGTATGAAGTCCATGACTTAACTTCTTGTCTATCACTGCAATAATCCAGACACATAAAGTATGAAGTCCATGACTCAACTTCTTGTCTACCACTACAATAATCCAAACCCATAAGGCCCATAAAGTATGAAGTCCATGAACTCAGGAAGTAAGCGTGTGAATCTTAGGAAAAAGAAGGTCAAAGAACAAGGTGGAGTTGTTTCTCTTGTTTCTCGCATGCCTTTAAGGAGTCCCAATGTACTCTCAGACTCTTGGCGACCGCAGTCGAACCTCTTCTAAAAAGCGGCTCCCCTTCCCCCGCTCCAACGACCCCCGCTTTTTCTAGCGCATGAGGTCAACCCGATAGAAAAGGAGGCACTAACCCTGGCAAGCCGGATTTGTTTTTCGAACATGCAAAGAAAGCGGGTTTTGTTGCGCTTTCGGGGGTCAAACATTCCGACCCAACCAAGACCCGACCAGGGTCTAAATTCAGCTTGCCTCTTCGTTTGGAGCCCGTGGTCGAAGGTTTGGTGCTGTTCCGCGGTGTCCAATTGACCCACGCCAGGAAATGGTTCAAGTCCAAACCGCCATGGCCGACACTCCCAAATCAAGCGGTACCTTCCCCATCCCTCTCTCCCATATCGCCTGGAAACATGGGTAGCTTCGCAGAACGAGTGCTTGTAGAATGGCAAAGGAATCGACCCGAAATCGGGTGATCCCCTTCTGTTTGCTTTCTGATTGGAACCCCCTTTTTGGGAGTGACACTCCCAAAGACATGGGGAAAAACAAAAACAACAACTCACGGGGAAAACAACATATTTGTTCGCATGTCCGCCACGGCGCCGTCTGCATCAGGACCTCCATATTCCTTGGCTCGAAAACGTTTTTCAAAGAACGACAACCAACCCCTGAGCATCCGAAAGGAACCTCCACATGGAGGTCAAAGCGTTTGTCCTGACCCTCAAACCAGCAAAACGACATCGGGAATCACATCTTCGGCCATATCCTTGTTTCGGGTCATAAGTTCCAGGTATTTCTGAGGATGATGCCTCTTGGACTCTTTTGCTTGTCGCAGGGCCATAAGCAGAGGGCATTTCGGGTGGTGATTTTGGTTGGCGCTCCAACTAACACATATTGCGCGTACGGCGTTCTTCTAGCAGAAGCTTCCCCATTCTTTAAGGGATCTTTCTTTTCAGGAACTATCCAAAAACCCGAAGAAACGGCTGGTTGTTGAAAAGAACGATGGTTGAAACGAATGGGGAATCAAACCCGAGATTTGTCTGTCTGATTCTATTGGGCCCCCACGTGCTCAAACGAAGCTAGGGGGTCCCCCAAATTGGTGGTTTCTTTTGGTCTCCCCACACAAAAAAGCGGTATGATCAAAAAAAAGAGGCGCCGCCCATGTTCTCAACCGGCCTTTCTTTGCCGAGCCAAAGCCAGACGTGAGTCCTCCCTGAGTCTTTGAACTTGGGGCTCGGGACGTGGCGGAACCTGGGAGACCCTAATTTTGCCATGCCCGTGACGGGAACCATTCTCGACTTCTTCAGCCTCAGCTTCCCGAATATGGGTTTGGATTGGCTGGGTGGCTTCCAGTCTGATACAAGAGGGGCTTCAAATTTACACTCCAGACCATTCCAAGACGTCTTGCAACATGGGCTGCAGTGCGTCTTCGCAGTGAGGAACTCACTTCTGAGTTCATGTGCGTTGCCAAGCAAAGTAACAAAACTTACAATTTACCACTAAAACGGTCCTTCCAACAAGAGCTTAAAGTCCAGCAACTCAGGGAGTGAGGGAAACTGGCGGGGGATCCAAAATCGGGTCTTTCAGTATCCGCCTCAGGCAGGAGAATGTGGCAAGGTCCAAAAACAGAAACATGACGGCCCACCGAATGCATGGCGTTTCTTGTTGCCCCCCCCCCCCCCCCTTGGAACTTGGTTTCAAATGGAAACCAGCTAGAAACCACCTGGATCACCAAGTTGCTGCATTTTTGCTCAAACACTTTAACCTAAAAACCAGTCACACTGGCTGGGTTTCCAGCGATTCGGAACTGGTGATCCAGGTACTTAGGGTCCAGCCAGGGGAAAATCAGCCACATGCTTCTGAAACAAACATGGAAGAAGTTGCCTGGATCGCCAGTTGCGATCGCATTTTTCCATGCGCTTTACGCCAAAGACCAGCAACAGCGGCTGAAAAAAAAGAGAGCTGCAACTGGGCTATCTAGGAAAAACCGAGAAACAAAAAAAACAAACATCGCTCAACCCCAAAAAGGGCTATGTATCCTGTAAAGCGAACCCCCCAAGGACCTAAGGAAACCCCGCGCAAAAAAAGAGCAACACGTGTCCAGCTCCAGTGGCTGGCCCTCCTCCGGAGCGGCGCTGCGCGCCGTCTCGGTCAGCTCCATGGGCAGCCAGGCCTTGCCTACGTCGAGCCGAGGCGTCGAGTCGCGCGGTGCGTCGCGTCGCGCGGCGCATCGGGTCGGCCGATCGATGGTTTTTTTTTCGGGAAGAAGGAGTCGGACAGTCAGCTGCCCGATCTCAGATGCCCTGCTAAAAGTTGTATTTCTTTTTCAACTTGTGGGTTATGTATATACAGTTGCCCCCAGATCTCAGATCCCCTGTTCTAGCTTGTGGGCTCTATACGGCTGTGGCTCAAAAAACCTGGTAACCCCAACATGGACCTCTGGTAGGGGGAAACATGGACCAACACCTGCGCAACCCCACTTGTTCAATGTGGAGCCACGCCCATGTGATGGAAACTACCACTAAACCACCACCCTGCTAGGGTTTCGGGAATGCCAACGAGTCAGGGCAGGTTTGTGGGAAAGGACCACTTCTGTGATACAACAAAAAGGGCTTCCGAAAGACTAACCCCCATATGAAGGGGGGGAATTCCCTTGTATCACAGAAGTGGGGAAAAGCCTCCTGACTCACAACCCTGAGTCAGGATGTTGGCTGGATGAACCGGTGTTTTGTTCTTATTAGTAAAAGAAACCGCAAGTTGGATTGTTTATGGGGTTAGTGACCCAGTTCCCTCATTCCCTGCTCAGAGCCAGCATGGTGCTGGGTTCCACTATTCGACTCCAGAGGAAATGAACCACCCCCTGGGTTTAAGCCTACGGAGTCAAAAAGCGGAACAGCAAATGGAAGATATTTAAGCCAATAGAAGAAACCTCCTGTCATAGACTGCCTGAACCAAATTGGTAAAAGACCACACGTGGGTTTGTCGAAAAATAGGAGAACCTCCCAAAAGGGTGGTGGTTCTCCTTTGGTTCCCCTCTAAATCAACCCCGAAAAGGGTGCCCAAACAAAAAGACGGGCCCAAAAAATATTAGAAGCCACTGGAACTTCTGCCTGTTGCCGATCGGAACTCTCACATGGCCTTCCACACGTTGATGGAGCGTCTGGACCTCAGCAACAACGCTGCATGATTCAAAGCCCCGCACTTCTGCCTCCCTGGAGTCTCCATGACCCTTTAAAGGGGTGAAGGGTCATGGAGACTCCAGGTAGGATGTTCGCTAGGGAATCCCAACTTCCTAACTTGGCAACGCACACCCAGGATTGCCTACCTATAGAGGGTCCAAGCGGGTCCCGTTTCAGGGTTGGTTCAAAGACGAAGCAAAGGAGAACGGCCCAATCGGAGTCGGCTCGTTCTCGCCGGGCCCCCGGCGGTACAGGAGTACTGTCCCAGCAGATCTCTACGATCCCCGAGGTCCACGTCCGACACGTCCTCAGCAAAACCGCCGGTGTCTTTTTGCACGGGAAGGCGCGTGTTTTGTTGCTCTTTTTGTTGCAAGGAAGGCGTCCCTGGTATGCAAAGAAAAGCCCGGGTGGCTGGTCATGTTTTGGAGGTACCCCCCATTTGCTTGGTTTTAATGGGAGAAGGAAACCACCGGTATGCAAAGAAAAACCCGGGTGGCTCGTCATTTTTCGAGTTACGCTTCTTGATCCTGAAGGCGTCCCTGGCAGGCAGGGGGAAAACCTGGGTGGCTCGTTATCTTTTTGAGTTGCCGCTTTTTGCTTGGTATTGAAAGGGAAAAGGAAAACAACTGTGGGGGGGTTCTGCTTACCTATGGCAACTGTGATCCATCCCTGAGAATTTTGGGCCCAAAGGTGGTTGGTGGTCCCTGCTTTGCACAACTTCTCTTCTCCACTGCCTCATCTTTGCGATACACTCAAGAGTCACTACAACTAGGTCCTCTAGTAATTAGAGAGGTTAGAAAAAGGGTACTTGTTTTCTTCTGTAGTCTATTTTAGCAGGGGAACCCCTCCCCAAAAAAGGGTGAGAAAGATCACTACTGGGGGACCCAGCTTAAGGGTGATTACAACGTACCAGGGATGTCATTCACTTCCTTTCGGCGCGAAGCCACGCCAGCCCTGGAAAGCCAGCCATCACCACAGGTATGTGTTTGCGGGATAGGATCTTCGGCAGTGGATGTCCCCTCAAAAAGGTGAATGGGGGAGCGTCAATGTCAAAGAGAGAGAGAGAGAGAGAAAGACTTCCATTTGCTTAAGTTTCCTGGACAAATACAACCAAATCCAGTAGTGATAGGTTCCCTTTGAAACCAAGAGGGGAAAAGTAAAAAAATATATTAAGCAAATGGAAGGAGAGAGAGAGGGAGAGAGGAGAACGAAAAATACTGCATACCATACTATAAACAAACTCCACTTGTCAGTTGGGATGCACATAAGCCACCTGCAGGATTTTGTGCCTCCACAGTATCGCGAATCTATTTGGTTGCGCCGCACCTTCTTCTGTTAAACATCCCCGAGGCTCCATATTGGTGATCTTTAGTAATGTTGAGAGATGTGGCCTGCAAACAGCTTTGGGATAGAGCCCTTAAAACACAAATGTCAGCAAGGGTCGCCATTCAATTTTCACCAGCGATTCCGATGAAGGCAGAACCACAAACACAAATTAACGTCTTAAAATGGAGGATGTGCTCGTCCAAAGACCTGATTGAAACAGGTGTTTATTCCGCCATGCTTTTCGATTTAAAGGCGTCGCCCTGAAATAAATTCGGGGATGCTGGCTGAAACAGCCGGCATCGAAATACTCGGACCGTCATATGCCACAACCAATTTGGTCCAACAATCATGGGTTCCCGCAGCAGGAGTTGCGTGAGTTTTCCAAGTTTTCCCAGTTAAAGGCCAAAGGTCAATTTCAACTGGTTCAGACCTTTGCCTATCCACAGTACTCGGGAGTTCGGCGAAGTTAGCAAGTTGTTGGTAACCTGCGCTACAACCCACTTTTAAGTTCCGCCGTTAAGCAAAGTTAACCCTTGTCATGGGCGGGTTATAACCCAGGTGGCTAACGACTTGCTTTGGCCGAATATCCAAGTAGCTGTCCAAACTCCTTAGGGCTTGATGATCATTCCTGCCCCAGGTAAAGGGGTGACTAAGCATATGGCATCGGCCGTCGGCTTGTCCATCAACCAACCAAAATTGGTGATTGTACGTTGTTTAACAAGGTGTGTTCGTCTCCAAATGAGGAAACTCCCCCCCTCCAAACCACAGAAAGGTTGGCTTCTGCTTGGACTCCTTCTGTTTTACGTCAAAGAAGCTGAAACCGGTCCCCCAACCAACACTAAGCACCCCATCTCAATCGGGTCCCTTTCAGTCCATGGTAATCACTCGATCCTTGCAGCTTGCGACATGTACTTCTCTTCCAAGTTCACTCGGCCCCCCATGCTTCAGTCTGCGAAAGGTTGCCGGATTTAAAAAAAAAAAAAAAAAAAACGAACCCAGTAGCAACAGGAAAAAAAACACGACCGAAAGGGAAAACATCGTATCTCTCAAAACTGCCAGAGGCAGGGCCTATTTCTCTTTCCTCGATGATCTAATGGTTCTTGCAGTGGACAAAGTCCTGCATCGGTTGGAATGGATAAAGCCCTAAGAATACCGGGACAAGCCGCAAATCCCAACTGCTGGATGTTGCCCCACAGCGCTCCACTGAGAAACTCACATGTGCAAATTCAAGATGAGGTGTGTGTCAAAGTAGGCAAGCCCCCCACATGAGTCCCCCTGGAAAACGCCTCGCACCAAGGGTGCCGCGCCTTAAGAAGCACACGCACGCGCACACAAACACACACACACACACAACCCAAGGAGAGTCACTTCTGAATCTATTTAAAGAAACCCAGAAGCCATATTGGTGAGTCAACTTGGCCATTCTAGGGGCTGATTCCTTTTCCATTCTTTTCAACCATCGTTCTTTTCAAAATCAGCCGTTTTCCCTGGACTTCCGGAGGTTTTCTAGCAAGAAGGATCCCTGGAAAGAATGGAAATGGAAGGAACCCTTAGAACCATACCCCCGTTAAATGAATGAAACCCTATGACTGGAATTCACTTCCTGAGTTGATGGGCCAAACAAAGCAACCGATCTTTACGTTTGGCACCAAAACGGCCTTCCCAAAAAGCTTGAAGTCCGAAACGGAACTCAGGAAGTGAGGAAGGGAATGATGCACCCATACTGCGGATGGACGAAATCCTTCTCCACCCGAGAAAACCTTGAAATCATGATTCCCCAGTAAATAATACCAACAAACAATGGTGTCAACCGTAGAATCAAAGTAGTACAAAATGGAATTTGTCCATCCACAGAACAAACACTGGAACAAACTCCAATGGCAAATCCACTGTTTCCTAAGAAGTTAACGTCCACAGATCCAACCAAAGAACCGCAAAAACCACAAACACTGGAACAAACCACCTATCCCGAAGTGATCTTGTCCGTTGTGGTACATCCGATTCCAAGGCACGATGTGCAGTTGCTGGTTGTGGTGAAACAGTGGCCTCCGGTCAGCATTGCTGCATGGCGAAACAGCTTCTCTCTAACGGGTGGTTTGGAGCCCGGTGGTTTGACGGTTCACGAGGGGCCTCCCATTAAGCCAGGTGTTCAAATCCCCAAACCACCAATCCAAACCATCAGTTACCTGAGCAAAAGCAGGCTATAAGGGTCTAACCACCAGCTAGTGGTCAACTCCAAGACTCGGGTCAGATATGGCTATGAATTTCAATGGCACCCTCACAATCACATCATGTGAACTCAATGGTGTGCGTCCCCCAAATAAACAAGAAAAGAGAACAACAACAAAAAACAATGAAACCAAAAAGCGGCCAATATCCCCAGCGGTGACAAACCTGTTCTGTACCGCATGGTCTGATTCTGCGGAATCTTAGGTCAAACCACAAAGGCAAAGCGAAACGTGGCCCTTTCTTGAAATATCAGCTCCCCCCTAGCTGGTGGGTTGGATTGGTGGTTTGGCTAGGCTTCCCATTTACCCTCTACAATGACAAGGGGTGCAATTCCCCAAACCACCAATTAGGTGGCCTAACCCTGTTTGGGTGATTTACCGGGGGCTGTTCCCTGGGAGGGGGCGGGGAGGTTTAGCCATTTTGTCTCGGCTTCCTGTCAAAGGGTTTTGAACCCGCAAGTCTGCGAGCACTGCTGGAAGCAAGAACTGGCGTATAAACCAACATCAGGTAAGCAGGTTACCCTGGCTACAAGGGGACTAAAACGGACTAACCCCGGGTAAGTAGGTTATAACCCTGGCTACAAGGGGACTAAAACGGACTAACCCCAGGTAAGCAGGTTATAACCCTGGCTACAAGGGGACTAAAACGGACTAACCCCAGGTAAGCAGGTTATAACCCTGGCTACAAGGGGACTAAAACGGACTAACCCCGGGTAAGTAGGTTATAACCCTGGCTACAAGGGGACTAAAACGGACTAACCCCAGGTAAGTAGGTTATAACCCTGGCTACAAGGGGACTAAAACGGACTAACCCCAGGTAAGTAGGTTATAACCCTGGCTACAAGGGGACTAAAACGGACTAACCCCAGGTAAGCAGGTTATAACCCTGGCTACAAGGGGACTAAAACGGACTACCCCGGGTAAGTAGGTTATAACCCTGGCTACAAGGGGACTAAAACGGACTAACCCCAGGTAAGTAGGTTATAACCCTGGCTACAAGGGGACTAAAACGGACTAACCCCAGGTAAGCAGGTTATAACCCTGGCTACAAGGGGACTAAAACGGACTAACCCCAGGTAAGCAGGTTATAACCCTGGCTACAAGGGGACTAAAACGGACTAACCCCAGGTAAGCAGGTTATAACCCTGGCTACAAGGGGACTAAAACGGACTAACTCCAGGTAAGCAGGTTATAACCCTGGCTACAAGGGGCCTAAAACGGACTAACCCCAGTAACCCTGGCTACAAGGGGACTAAAACGGACTAACCCCAGGTAAGCAGGTTATAACCCTGGCTACAAGGGGACTAAAACGGACTAACCCCAGGTAAGTAGGTTATAACCCTGGCTACAAGGCGACTAAAACGGACTAACCCCAGGTAAGTAGGTTATAACCCTGGCTACAAGGGGACTAACCCCAGTCATAGCCATGGGTTGCAACTTACTAAGGTGGCCTTTGACCCTTCCTGCAACTCAGGCAATGAGCCCGGCTGGTCTCATGGGAGTGGAAATCTGGATTTGCGGCCTGAAAGAGGATGGTCTTCCAAAACCCTCCGCTCCACTCTCAGAGAAAGGGCAGAAGGCTTCGACAAGTCTCCGAGAGACCAGCCCTCTCCCCTAGCCCCAAAAGCGATGGAGTTCTGTTTGGTGTCCCTTTCAAACAGCTTGAAAAGGATGCAGGACCTACCACTGCCTTGGCCCCCAAACATAAGTGGCGCATTCTGGTCCATATGGGTGTGTGTGTGTGATGTTGGAGGCTCGGTCTTTATTTTGGGGTTGTGTTTAAAAAGAGATCAAACCCCTATTTAGAGACAAACCCATATTCAGAGAACCTTCGAATGCAACATCATCTAAAAGAGATCCCATGTAACCTCCGAAAACGGACCTCAAGTGCTGTCAAGCAAAACCCACGAGACTACCCAAAAGTCGCAAGAATGGCAAAGCAAAATGGGACCCTGTTGTTTTGTTGACCCCCAGCCTGCTTTGTTTTGCCCATTAACCACACTGGTCAACCAAAAAACCACGTGATTGGACATCTCCCGGAAAACATCATCCCGCTACAAGGAAGCTGATTCTCAAGATGGCCCAAAACGGGCACTGTTTAAACCACCCTTCCGGGGAACATAGGGCTCCTGGCTGGTTGGTTTTAAAGGAAGGGACACCGGCCTGCTGCACTGCTCTGCCGTGCACAGGACCGAAGGCAAGTCGCGCTAAAGGGAAAGGGAAAAAGACCGACCATTTTGAGGGAGGTCCCTGTTTTGACACCCTAATGGGTGTGCCGCCCCCAAAAACATGTTGGTTTTGTTCTGTCTAAGCCAACCTGGAAAATTGCCAAAGAACGCAAACCCGGGTGTATATCCAAAAGGCCTACCTACCTACCTACCTACCTACCTACCTACCTACCTACCTACCGTCCCTACCAATCCATCTATCGATTTATCTTTCTAACTACACTTGTATCTCCTATCTATGCATCTTCACATTTATCTATGTATGTATCAATCCAGCTATCAATCTCTATCCATCCATCTACTCAGATGCCCAGTGGCCATGGGAAAAGAAGGGCACCTCTTTTTTGTTGGTTGAGTTTAAAGGGGAAGCCTTACCCCAAGAAGAAGGAAAAAGGGGCACCACTGACCAACACAGTCTATCTACAAACCCGGGGGTTAAACTCTCCACCACTTCCGAGCGAGGTTATCCGGAAAGCCGAGCAGCAGGAAGCCGCTCTCCGGCGGATCCCAAACGGGGTGGCTGGTATTGGTGTGATACCTTCGCTCGAGGTCAGACTTCGACACTCAAAGTAAACGTCTGCTTTCTGAGTTGGTGCCCTTGTTTTTTTGGAGTAACGGGAAACCCAGCTTCTTTTTTTTGGGGGGGTCCCTTGTTTTTTAGTTTCACGGAAAACCCAGAGGAGAGACACTATTTGTTTGTTTTTTTTGGGGAGCGGGGGTTGAGTTTTTATTGTCCAGGAACGTAGGGAGTGAGGAAACTTGAACTTTCTGCTGGTTGTGTCTGCTTTGGAGTTGGTACCCTTGTTTTTCTTTTTGTTGTCCAGGAGCTTAGGGAGTGCGGAAAGTTGAACTTCTGGTTGTGTCTTCCTTGGAGTTGGTACCCTTGCTTCTTGAGTCTTAACGGAAACCCAGAGGAGAGACGCTGTTTTGTGAGGTCCGGACCCCTAAAAAGTGAGAGAAACTGCGTGCCGCTCGAGACTGGCCGAACAAAGCAACCGAACTTGCCCCGAAATGTGAGACTTTGTGACTTGAAACCGAACTTTTGGTTTGAAAGTGGACTTCCCGAAAAGTCAAAGCCGACAAACTCAGGACACTCAGGCAGCGAGGAAAGGAAACATGAAGGAAACAAATAATGGCAAACGGTTCAAAAGAATGATGATTGTCCGATGGAAAATCGGCTTGGGCGTAGAAGATTCCAACCACCTGAACCAACTGCTCTTACAAACCTGGAACTACCAACACTCAGCTTCCCTCCTTTTTGTGGCTTGGCATTGTAGTTTGGAGGTTACGCAACGCTTCCCCTGTATGCTCCACAAGAACCGGGGTTCAAAACCCCCAAATCACTGCCCAAAACTTGGTTGAGTTTGGAAGGGGAGCAAAAAGCTTTTGTGGGGATTTCCCACTAAACCACACTAAAAAAATGTAAAATGTTTCCCAACAACAACCGTGAAAAATTGGTTCGCCCCAAACAACGCCAGACCCCCATCCTTTTTTTTCGAGCATACGTCCTGTCCAAAAAGCCTTGGTCCTCCAACCTGCAACCCGACCAGTATTTGCAGGGAGATGTAAGATGCTTCGCGTGGAAAGTGAAGCCTCTCCAAATATCCCACGAGTGTCTCTTTCTACTTATCGTTTGTACCCTTTCTCGTGGCTATAAACGAACCAAAAAAAGATGGTCTTAATTTATGAGTGGGTACTCTTTCTAAAGAGCGGCTATAAAGCAAAGCAAAAAGAACACCAAAGCAATTCTGTGGTTTGGGGACCCCCCGCCCCAAACAAAGATGTCATGAAAGGGGAACACAAATGAGAGTTCTCCCCGTGGTGGAACTTTTGTGAGCCTTCAAATATCCCTCTATGGACCACGAGCAGGCTCGTTTCTTTTGAGGCTCGGTTCAAACCAGGTTTCCCATGAGACGATTCGAGTCCGATCGATGTGTTTGCTTCTTTGCGACTTTCCTTTCGGATGCCCTTCTTGGATGTTCAACCTATACTTAGCAAGTAGGCTACAACCAAGGTGCTTTGCCTTGGGTTTGCCTGGTGCTAGTTGGCTTATAACCATGGTTATAGCCTGCTCAATTAGTAGGTTGAACATCCAAGTTTCAAGTCCACAAAAGGGTACCTCCGAACATGAGCCATTCGACTCCGCTTCGACGAAATCTTCCGAGGCGCGATGTGGTGAATGACGTGCCGCCGAGTTGAATTGTCACCAAAGGATCCTCGGTACGCGCACGTGCCGCTTGCCCGGCCCAGCGTTGGGTTTTGCAAGCCCCATTATTCATCCCCCCTCATCCCCATTTTGATGACTTCATCTTCCATTTGGTTAAGACCCCAAAACCAACAGGATTTTGTGGTTTAAACTTTAGCAAATGGAAGTAATCCGACTTACTCCCCGAAACCAGTCCAAATGAATACCCCATTTTAAGGGGATACCAAGAAAGGACCAACATGTTGAGGGTCCCCCAAATTTGACCCAGGGGCTGAGGAAATGAACGACTTCTGAAAGATCCCAAATGGATTCCGTTTCCGGGAAACGAGGTATAAGTGTTCCTGTCCCAGCAATTACATTCACCTGTATAAGTAGCCAAGGGGGTTTCCCACCCTTTATGAACCAACAGGGAATTCTGGTGGTGACCTACCAAGGGGCGAAACAGATTCCTGGGACCTGGGTTCGGTTTCCCAGCGAATTTCGGAGGCCCATGGGATCCCTGTGGTTACGAAATCCCTTCGAACTGGGATAACACCTTCGCGTGGTACGGGATATTAAACAAATGCCGGGTATTTACCGGGGAGTCGTGATAAATCAGATTCCAGGGCCTCTATCCGTTTTTTGCGAAACGGATTTCGGATGTAGGCCTTGAGGTCCCGAACCTCGAGGATCGAAAGTTGGAAAGGGTGTCTGATCTAAGCCACGAAGAAGCCAATGGATAGGCCCAGCATCTTTCCTGAACGGTTTTCTAGGGTGGTTGATCCCAGGCATTCCAATTTGGAGGCGATGGTGAAAAGGAGTTGCAGATATCAAACATCTTTGGACCTGGAAGTGTCGTGGATCCCAGGAATCCGGTTTTTGCCACGATTAGGCAGGTAGGCCGCCATTTTGTCCCTTTGGAACTTTTTGTGAAGGGTGGGAAACCCTTGGTAATCTATGCTGGTAAATGGAATCACTGGTGAAGGCTTTACTGGTCAAAAGGATTTGCAGACAACACATCTTCTTTCTTGGACCTGAAGTCTAACCAATATCCAGGTTCTTAATGGTCACAAGGACCTGTAATTGGTAACAGGACCCTGAACCAACAAATAAAGAATGTTAAGGGAGCCAAAAACGAGACAACCCAGATCTTCACATGGGTATGTGTCGAAATGGGGGGGGATCCGGAGAAATGGAGGCAAGGGCTTTCCTTGTGGCTTCCCTTTGAACCAACGCCAATAGGGGTACAATCAAACCAACACACACACATACCACACACACACATACCACACACACACACACGCCACACACACACACATACCACACACACACACATACCACACACACACACACCACACACACACACACACCACAAACGCACCAACACACACACCACACACCCACACATACACATACACATACACATACACATACACATACACATACACATACACATACACATACACATACACATGCACATGCACATGCACATGCACATGCACATGCACATGCACATGCACATACACATACACATACACATACACACACACATACACATACACATACACATACACATACACATACACATACACAAACACATACACATACACATGCACATGCACATGCACATGCACATGCACATGCACATGCACATGCGCATGCGCATGCGCATGCACATGCACATGCACATGCACATACACATACACATGCACATGCACATGCACATGCACATGCACATGCACATGCACATGCACATGCACATGCGCATGCGCATGCACATGCACATGCACATGCACATGCACATGCACATGTGCACACACCCACCCACCCACCCACCCACCCACCCACCCACCCACCCACCCACCCACCCACCCACCCACCCACCCACCCACACACACACACACACACACACACCACAAGCACACCCACCTACCCACACACTCCCACCCACACACACACACACATTTCTCTTCAAGCTGGTAAACCCCGAACACGGATTTCCGTTCTGGCTTCCCCTTGCTGTTGGCGAAACAAAAGCCGCCCTTCCCCCCTTCTTCCCCCCGGAGTCTTGGAAATTGCTCCCTGCTTCTTGTGCTTGTGTTGGTTGTCTAAACCCCCTACCCCAAAGTCAGCAGGTACCCCTAAACTAGTAGATTGGATTGGAAGCGTCGGGGTTTGAACCCCCCTTTTGACACCAAAGGGAAGATTCCCATCCAAGCCAGCGATCTCCAAACCACGAATTCGTGGTACGGTGTTCAACGGGTCCGTAGGTTGCAACCATGATGGGCCAACTCCGGGGTGATCGTCCGGCTATTGTGTCCTACTTACCTGACGTTGCCTGTACACTCGAGAGGTTGATTCTGGCGGATTCCCATCCCCAGCCCGAAAGGAACCGGAAATCATGGCACCTATGAGGCGCGGTCAAACTTGTTCCAAGAGGACATGGAATATTCGGAAAGTGTTAATCCTGGATTCTGTGGAAATTGTCGTGTCTCAAACTCACTTGCCCTTTAGGGACCCAGCAATAAAAGCTTAACCTTTTCTGGGCTGTTCTCAGCTCCTCTGCTCAAACTCTAACTCTTCGTGGGTTAAAGGAACACCCCCCCACTAAAACCCCACGAAACCGACCAAAACAAAAAGCAACTGAAACCCCAAGAACCGGATGGCTGGGACCACCAAGTATGACCTTGACGTGACACGGACCGAACACAAGGAACACCAAAAGCATAAAACAAAAAGAATCAACTGGCAACTGGGCAAAACCCCAAAGCCTTAAAAAACAAAAAAGAAAAACACATCGCTGTGGTCGCTGTGAGCGACTTTTCGCAAGCGCTCGCCAGCCGGGGCTGGCACGGAGGTCTCCTTGCTAAAGAGGGACCAGTCGCCACCTGAGTCCAAATCAAAACCCGCCTGGATCGCCAAGTTGCTCTTTTTTTTTTCAGACGCGAAATACCCTATAAACAGTCACAGTTGCTGGGAAAAAAGCGATTCGCAACTGGCGATCTAGGCAGTAAAAACATGCTGGTTACACAAAGGCGGATATCCGCAGCTGGATGAAACACGTCCCTTTACCTGCATCTACCTTGGTTTTGATTGTGGCTCACCTCAGACATCCGAAGGCTGGTGGAGCTGTTTGACCCCCCCTTGTTTGGGTGGCCCTGCTTGGACGTGTCGGGGTAACTTTGGTGGTTTTAGAGGGAAGCTCAAAGGAGATTTGGGGGGGGTTCCTGTTTTTGGGACATACCAAGATGAGGTCTAACAAATGGGTTTCTTTCGGATGCTACGCACATGGTCCTGTTGAAGCTACGGGCCCCTGATTTGGGACCGATTCCCAGATCCCGGGCAGTTCGCCAGTAAGCCTTCGCCATGCTCCTGGTTGCTGGAGCGGTTTGTGTAGTTCTGCGCGACTATTTTAAAAATAATAATAATATATATGCTGATGCATGGAAGGGCCGGGAATGTAGGTACCTGAACAGCTCGGGGATTTCAAGACCGGTCCCGTTAATTATGGGGACCACCTAAACTAGCATTGCCTATGCTTTCCCCTCCGCAAAATGAAACGGGACCAGTCAAACCAGAATCGCTGTTTGGTAGGCAGTGCAGTTTTCCAAAAAAGGTACTACCCTGCGGAGTGAGGAAGGTTGAACTATGCCAACTCAAGTCTTGTGCTCCGTGTCCATCAAACAGGTTCTGGAAGAAAGACATCTGTCCCATGGGAGCATCTTTGTGATAAGCGAAGGGGGTTTAACCCAATCACCAAATGCATCGGCAAGAACAGACCAATTCAGCCAACCTTGGCCATGTGAGCCAAGGTCAACACTCCTTGTATGGCCTATGGTCATGGTTCCCTGAGAGGAAATCCTACTAGGTGGATGACCATCCCTGGCAAAATCAAGTAAAGGAACCTTTTGTCATTTGACCATGGCACATTTGTGTCACGGGAGAACTCCAAAAGGCGAGTCGCCTTGCCAATTGAAAGCTTGCTCAGAGCCCCTGAGGCAGAAGTCGGACAAGAGGCCAAGCCCAAACACCCGAATGGTGCTCGATCAAGCTTCATAACCTACCCTGTAATGTTGACCCGGGATTAATAAACCCCTGTTTATTAATATGGGGGTGTCCCTGGTTTTAGAGGGGATTTAGACCACTTTTGGAGGGGACCACCCCCGTATCAATAAACTGGGGTTTATTCAATCTGGGGTCAACATAACATCCCAGGCAAGCCACCCCCCCACCCCAAACAGACACAAAGAAGCACCCACAACGAAGACCCCCAAGAGACCCACAAGGCACCCAAAACGACGAGCGCCCAGTCAGAAAATGTCGGCCTTCGCCAGAATGGCCGAAGTTGGGGATTGGGGGCCTTTCTGGGCAAAACCAAGTCCAAACCAATCCAAATCCCCAAATTTTGTTTGCTGAATTGCCGCAAACCCACGCGTCTAGAAATCCATGTCCCCGACTTTAAATGGACCCACCACACCTGTGGCTTTCCATTACTACCCTCGGGCTCCCTCAGCTCAATCCCCGAGCGGTTTGTCCAAAAACAGGTCCAGGAACTCGTCATTTACCACAAAAAGACTTCCTGGACCCTCAAACTACCCATCAAAAAGGGATATCGCCCCATAATTTTTGGGGGTCAAACTCGTTTTTAAGGGAATTTTGAGGGTTCAGGTTGGCACTTGGATGCTCGATTTGCCAAGTTAGTAAGTTGCTTTGAACCTTGTTTATAACCCACTTGTGAGTCCCCCTGATTGGGGTTCACCTTACTAGGTTGTAAACCAATTGGCTAACCACCTAACTTGGCAACGGCACATGTATGTATTCCGACGCAAAGTGACTAAACTGGGCTGTCCGTTTTCAGATCCCCTGCAAAAAGTCTAACTTCTAGCGGGTGAAATGGAACCCCCCCTTCAAACCAACTAAAAACAGTTGGTTCCCTAGTGTTCGCTTGGGTTCCTTAGCGAGCCTAGCTCCTCCAGCAGAGAGGTTAGAATAAGACCAACTTTTTTCTGGTTTGTCTATTTTAGTAGTGGAACCCTCCCAACCAAAAAAGAAACAGTAAAAAGGCACTGCTGGGGACCTAGACGAGCTGGTCACGCTTCCTTCTGAGGGAATCCCTAAAGGGGGGTAGGTACAGTGGGTAGTTGAGAGCCCTAGGGTTCCTTAAGGTTGCTCAAGCTTCCCTAGGCTTCCCTAGGCTTCGCTGGGGTTCCCTCTACGGTCCCCCCCCTCAGTCCCGAGATGGGGCCCCAAGCCGAAGACCCCTCGAGCTTCATAGACCGTGGCCACCACGAAACCATGCGGCGCCGGCGTGGCGATCCTCGGTGTGGTGAGTCTCGTGAGTGCGACTCCCCCGAATGGATCCAGGATGATCCAGGGCCAAGCTACATACCCCCTGTACATACTTGGAGAAATGAACCCAAGAGGCCTGTTTTTTAATACCCCTCTCCCCAAAAGGGGTATATATACCCTTATATACAAGGTGGGATGGAAACCATGGAAGGGGTATGAACAAGGGGTATGTACTTCCACCCTTAGATTGAAGTGGCCTATTCATGGAAACCTATCCCAGAGGGTCCCTTGGTACCTTATAAGGATGGCTTTTGGGAGCAAAAAGGGGTCTAAGTACCTCCTTAGGTACTTGAACCCTCCGGGTATGCTTCTTCCATGTTAATTGTTTCGGCATCCTTCTTTCTAAAAAAAACAAAAACACCCAAAGCACTGGGGAAACAGCGATCGGTTGTTGAAAAGAACGATGGTTGAAAAGAATGTGAAATCAACCCTCAGAATGCTAGGCTGTCCGTTTTTTCAATTCCCCCCGCTGCAGGTTCAAGTTGTGGGTTAAATTCAAACACACACTAAACCCGCAAAACCTAAAAACTAAGGGGATGACTAGGAACCAAACTCACCATTTCAGTGGAAACACACTTGGGTTTGTCTGCAAGTAGGGGAACTCAAGTCAAGTGGGTTGGTTTCCGTTTGGTCTTCCGTTGAAAACCATCCAACAAAAGTTACCTGGACCCTAAAAAAACTACCCATAACAAAGGGAATTCATGCCATACAAATTGGGGCAATGACACATCTGTAGAGGAATTGTGAGGGTCCAGGTACCTTCTTGTCCATAGCAGACCATCCGTGGATGTTCATGGCGGAGAAAAAAAAAAACAAAAACAAATGGCCCTCGTGATTCGAAGGGAACTTACACAGCGATGCCGTGCCGCGTGTGTGTAGGTATGCCAGGGAAGGAAAAACGGGACACTATTTTTTTTTGGTTGACCATTTTCCGGAGACACCCTCCAAAAGGCGGAAGGGAGCACCGCACTGGGCGCCTTGGATTTTGGCCACGTTCTCGGGCCAAGCCTTGGCCTTCTTCCGTTTTTAAGGACAAGGGCATCCACCGCCCAACTGCCTGAGACTTGGGTGTGTCTCAAAATGGAAATTTTCCCCAACATGGTTGGTTTCCTTTGTTCCCTCTAAACCAGCCACAAAACGGGTACAAAACGGGTACCAACTGAAAAAGAGATGAGGCAATCACTTGGGAGTCATGGGCAAAGGGATTGCCTTGAGGCCCCACCCTACCCCACCCCACCTCACCCCCCCGCCCCAGAAAAAATATGGGGGCGTTGTGCAGCCCGAGACTCGGAAGCAAGGTCGAGGGAGGGATCGGGGCGATGGGCACATAGATGCCGCCTGCGATAGAAAAAAAAAAAAAAACACGGAGGGTGCTTGGTTTCACCTCGGAAGGGGAGCACACATGTTAATTTTAGCAGTTCAGTGGGGATTTCAACCACTAAACCACAATAAGCAAAAATGTATAAAATGTTTCCCAACAACAACCATGGGTGTGTCTCCAGCTCCCAAAAAAAGCCTGGGGTGTCCTTGTCCTGTTTGTGGTTTGTGGTGTTTTAAAGGGAGGCCAAACATTCCACGGAAAATGTGCGTCTCCAGCCCCCCAAAAAAATATGGGGTGGACGGTTACGAAATCCCTTCGCACCACCTTGAAACCATGGTTGAAACCAGCGTTTGTTGGTATTCACAGGTCATTCCAGGGCTTCTTAGGTGGTGCCAAATGGATTTTGTCCATACGGTGCTTCCTTGTCCTGTTTGTGGTTGTGTGGTGTGTTAAAGGGAGGCCAAAAGGAACGTCACCCTGGCCTGTTGGGGGGCTTCCCAAATCCCAAAAAGAAGCAAATCAGGGACACAGGGACGATGCTGGGGCTTCCTTGTGATTCCATTTGGCTGTCTAGGTAACCCAGCGGGTTCCTACCCAGTAGAAGAAGCATAATATTTGGTGGCTGGAATTAGGACAACCAAAAAATATATCTTTTTGCCTGGTTAGTGGAAAACAAAGGGGACCCCAAAAAAGCAAAAAACACAAACAAAAGGGGGAGCTAATTCTGGGGAAGATATTTGGTGGCTACTTATCGTGGCAACTGTGGGTTTGGTTTCCCTTTAAAACAGAGTGCGGGCGGCCCTGGAGGCCCCAGTCTTTGAGGTTTTTGTTTTTTTGTTTGGTTTTTGAATTTTGTGGTGTTTCTGTTAAAACAACCATCCGAAAAAGCGTATCAGCCAATACCAGGCCCGTGGATCTCGCAAACACGACTGGTGCTTTGGGCCGTTGATGTTCAACCGTCCCCTCGGTTTCCGAGGAAAACAGAGAGGGGCGCCAGAGCGGATGGACCATAACCCCCCCCGAAAGCACGACGGTGGGTGTCCTGGGTACCTGAACCCTCAAAATTCCATCTTAAAAATGGGTTTGACCCCCAAAATTATGGGGTGATATCCATTTTTTATGGGTAGTTTGAGGGTTCAGGTAACTACTTGTCACTGGTACTTTGGCCTTGGTGTTCTTTCCTTGTGGAAACTGGGTAGCTCGTCTTTGTTGAAGTTGGTATTCAAGCAGAACAAAAAAGAGAACCACACACTTGGCCGAACACACAGCCAAGTAATTATCCCTTTCTTGAACACGATTCTTTTTGCGGTGTTCCCTTGGCTTCACAGAAACTCGCCCTAAGCCCACGATTAACTTCCACTGATCAACCCCAACACGACCAAGCCAGCTTTCTACAATCCGTCCATGTAATGGGATTGAAATTCACCCAAAGCCGATTCCGCACATCTGAACCAATGAACCCTACCCAAAACCCACCCAGTGAATCCCAGTTACACTCATAGTAGGTAACCAGCCATGTTCCTTTTTGTTTGTAAAGGGTGGCTCCCTTTACATACTAAGAGGTAAATGGATCCACTGGGCCAAACAAAAAAAATCACGGCAAAGTCTTTGGGCCCGTGGTTGTTTTACTTGGAACCGGTGTGAGTTGATCAGAGACCTGCCTCGCACCATACGCCTGTTCCCAGCCCATACTGCCAGTGCGGAGTAATGACTTTGGTGTTCAAACCACCATAAAAGCCATATATATATATATATAAACAATGGGGGGGTTAGCGCAACCGCCATTGTTTACCTAAGGATTGTCATCCAAATTGGGTCCCAAGGCCATTCTTTTGGGGGTTAAACCCTAGGGCTTTGGATCCTAGTGATCTACCAGGTGAGAACAACGTTCAGGGGCAATTTCATCCTACACATTTACTAAGAACACAAAACACATGATTCATATACATGAACACGTATGGTCCACCCAGCCCCAAATGGCATCCTAGGTATACCCAGCCAGGAAGTAAGTATAAATATATATATATAGAGAGAGAGAGAGAGATTGTGTATAGCATAATACGTGTATATATATATACACAATATGCATATATGTAGTGAGTAACAATCAAAAAACATATCGTAATACACGCGACAATTTCCCCGGAACACAGGCCCATCAAACAAATGGGAAGTCATGTGCCAACTCATTACTCCAAAAGTAGCGGCGAAGGGTGTCCCTCCACAAACGTGCAACTTGCACGACCCCTTAAAGGAAGTTGCCTTCGAGGAACCGGCATTAAGCTTTTGTACAAATAGATGGACCTGGTCAATGGAATAAAATCAACCTAAGCCAGTAGAACCCATCTATTTCTCACCGACTTATGCTTCCATTTGCTTAAGCCCCCTGGAAAAGATAAAAATACTTCCAGTAGTGATAGATTCCCTTTAAAACCAAGAGGGGAAACAAATCTTAAGCAAATGGAACTATGGGAACCGGTTCCTGTTCAGGTCCTATTTTTGCGGGAGAATACCATTAGCTCGCCCGTGGAGTATTTGGGGACTTGGGCAGGCTGTCCGCACAGCATCTTGCTGGTATGGGAAAGACGCCCACGTGGGCAACCTCCGGCAATAGTGTGGATGGATACAAAATCCGCTCGCACCACTTTGACACCTTGGTTGAAACCGTAACACTTGTTGGAATTTGCAGGGGGAATCGTATCATTGCAGGGTTTCTTAGGCGTTGCAGGATTTCGTCCATAAACAGTAGGTCCCGGTGATCTAAACAATTGCGGACAACATCCAGGCGGTAGGTGGTTTATCCCGCAGGCGTCATCCATGCCAACTGGTGCCTAGCGCAGAGTTTGTCCTTCCACAGTAGTTCCTCAAAGGCTTCTCTTGTTTTGGTTCCTCAAAGGATACATGGGTCTGTTTCGAGGCAGCCCATATATTAAGGGGTTTAAAGGGAAACCAAGAGGAACACCAGGTCCCCTAAAAAGGACACACCCGCATCCAAACACAACCTAATTTCAAGGGGAGGTTATTGCTCAACTGGCCATTGTATGCACGGGACCCGCAGCGATGTGGACCCAACATGGGGAATTGCAACTTGCGGTTGTCCTTGAATGCCACGTGAAAAGAGGACCTGGACCCTCAGCGTTTTTGGGTCCAGGCACGCTCAAACAACCCTTTCACCAATCCTTTGGATTCTCTTGCTGGCGCTCCGTAGGGAATGATAACTGGAATGAACCGTTTGGGATTCCCGAAAAAAGGACACTTCACCAGTTGGATGGTTTTAATCTCGAAATCATGAGCCAAAACTTATCCTCACTTGCTGAGTTGATGGGCCAAAAAAAGCTCAAACTTTACATTTACCACTAAAATGGTCTTCCCAAAAAGTTTAAAGTTCATGAACTCAGGAAGTGAGTATCATTCCCACCTCTCAAGGCAGATCTATTCTCTGCCCGGTGGAGTTCCAGGGGAAGAAACATAATTTGCATCCGATCTTCTTTGGCTGACTTTACAGGAATTGGAACCCTTACCCAAACAAGTCGCAGAAGTCCAGCAGCACACTGGAAAAATATTATTTTGGGTTGGTTGACTTTAAAGGAATCGGAACCCTTGCCCAAAAAAAGTTAACCCAAAAAAAGGGAAGCAATTCCCGCCGGTTGCAACTGAGTCTTCCCCCCCGCTCGCGCCCGCCCTCGCGCACCCCAGCGCGCGCCTGGCACCACGAAGGAGGAGAGGATCTGCTCGGTGGTGGACTGAACGGCGGCCACCAAAATCGGGCCCAGCAGCTTGCCAGCCTGAGCGATCCAGTGATCGAGCGACCCAGGCGCTTCGGGGGGGGGGCCTTGGGACATGGCACCTGGCACTTCGCCGGCTGCCTGGCTGGGTGTTTCTGTTTGTTTTTTGGTGTTTCGGGATTTTTCTCGTTTTGGGGGCTTTTGCGGGACTTGTTCGGTCGCTTCATCTTTTTCTGGGATCAGCATTTTGTTGTTCAGGGGACTCGTTTCTTCCTTTTTCTGAGCCCCAGCTGTTGTTCATCTGCGTGTGTGGATTTGTCCGCTTTTTGACAGTTTTTTGGGAGCCACGCCAAGCAACAAATGGGTGTTTCTTGTTTTGTTTGGCCCCAAACATGGTTTTCTGCTTTCCTGCCGGTTTCCCCTGACCACCAGCCAAAAGAGGGGTACCCTCCGAAAAAGACAAACCCATATGGGTTCCTCCCTCCAACTAGCCTAATGGGATATGGCACCGACATGATCCTATTTTGAAGGATAGGTTGAGGGTCCAGGTGCGTTTTCAGATCCCTACCCCTATTGTTTGTTTCTCAAAAGAATTCGGGACCTGGCTGAAGAGGAACCCATCGCCAGCTGAGGCCCGGTTCCTATGATTATTGTGTCCGGATTGGGACTTAACCTGCATACCGGTTGCCATCGATCTGGGTCCATGTCAGGTTGGAAACCCACCTTGGAACATCCCTTGTGGGAACTGGGTTTGGAGAAAAACAAATACGCCCAGATGCTATCCCCAACAACTCGGATTGCACTTGTCCGGAACACAGGTAATCTATTGGTTTCCGGTTTCCCGGCCCACATCTGGGCTGCACAAGCAAAGGCTTGATTCTGTTTCATGCTTCGTCTACCCCAACATATAACATCTAGGTCCTCCAGTAGAGAGGGTAGAATAACGGTACCCGATTTTTTTTCTGCAGTCTATTTTAGTAGGGGAACCCTCCCCCCAAAGAAAGGGGAGAGAAGGGCATGTCTACCCCAACATACAACATACTGTGGATGGACGAAATCCTGCACCACTTTGATACCATAGGAAGCCATTGTTGGTTGGTATTCACAAGGGAATCATCATTCCCAGGTTTCTCAGGTGGTGTGAAACCATGAGAAACTTTTCTTTTTGTATTTGCAAGGGGAATGATCATTCCAGGGTCTCTTAGGTGGTGCAAAATGGATATTGTCCATCCACAGTCGTACAAGGGGTCTAGTCGTGACAAGTTTTACCCAGCGTGCGGCGAAGCACCTCTTCGCTGAGGCCGCGGCTGACTGCATCCCGAAGAACTCCACATGAAGGTTCGGCAGGTCTAAAAAGTACATCTTGCCTGCCCCAAGAAAAAACAACCACATTTTTGACACACAAGGCATGGCATAGTTTCCTATACACTTTGGCTTACATGGCCTGGCCAGTTTCTGGCTGATCTTGCCTCTGCCAAACTTCACTGCTTCACGAAAAAGCAACAACAAGAACAAAAAGCAACCGCAAACACTGAACACTCAGAAAACTTGGCTGGCGCTCGCAGTCCATCAATACCACCCCCTCAAAAAACAACTGGCTTGAAGCGCGTGTAAGGCAAGCCTCGTTAGTTTAAGAGTTCCAACTTCATTGTCAAAAGGGACATGGTCGAGCACCAAGCCCAACTAGTCCAGCAATTCCACACCCAGACACTCACTCCATGTAGGGAATATTTACCCACAGTTACCCTCCACATGCGCGTATTACATACATGGAGTATGTGGGACATAAGAGAACCCCCCGAAAGGCCCCAGGAAATTGGCATCGGTGTTGCTGGGATTCCTTGGAAACCAAACAAGTTGTCCTTGAAAGAAATCTCAGATGCCCAGTGGCCATGGGGAAAAAAGGGCATCCTTTCTTTGGCTGGTTGACTTTAAAGGGGAACCTTCCCAAACAAAAGGAAAAAAGGGTGCCGCTGGGCGACTGAGAAATGGGTCCACGGATTGCTCCCATTCCCTTGCACAAGTTGGCAGACTCCAACTCGGAAGCTGACACATTCCAACGACCAAATCGATTCTCCCTATGTGGGTGCGTGTCATTCTTGTGAGGGCGCCCCTTTGTAGCACTATAGGGTTGTTTGAAAGGGGATTTGAAGGGGAACGATTCATTTTGAGGGGCCCCCCGTCGCCCCCCGTTTAGAGAGGTCGAAATAGGTCGTATCCGTCGGATTTGAGTAGATGTGGGGGCAACTTTAAAACGCACATTTTTAGGGAATTCCAACCTGCTGTGGATGGACGAAAACCTGCACCAACTTGAATCCATGCAAAACCATTGATTGTTGGTATTTATGAGGGAAACGAATTATTCCAGGGATGTTTAGGTGGTGCGAAAAGGATTTCGCAATGATCCACAGTATCATCTCTCCCATTTGAATTGCGAAGACTTTGGGCAACTTCTCTTGGGCAAGCAGACAAGGGAATGGAGGCTCAATTTAAAGGTCATTCCATGGTGTGCTTGTTTTTGCTTTCAACACGGATTTGCTTTCCTTTGGTTTCCCAATTTACAAAAAGGGGGGGCGCTCTAAAAAAGACAAACCCACCTGAGCGCCCCGGACAGTTGGGGAAGAATTGGGTAGGCCCAGCGCTTCTTGGCAAGAGAAAATAGGACATCCCCCCCATGTCACCAAAGAAACAACAGGCTACCAGCAATATTGTCCGTTGCCCATAGAAAGAAGAGGGAGGCTTTTGTTGGAACAGGGTGTCCTTTGTTGATGGCCCCCTTTTGGAGTGCGCTATGCAAACAAATCGGAAACCATTGAGTTCAAGGTGTCGCCACTGAAACAAAAACCGCCCATTTCTCAGAGCCAAACGAGGCAGGTCCGATGTGTGGGAGATGTCCCCCGCTTCTCAAGACCACAGCGCCAGGTGTTGGCCACGCGTCTGAAGCCTCCAATTTTCACCCGGCCCGCCTCCGGCAAAGACGGGAACCGAGTCGATCAAAGGAGCCAAGAGCACGCAGGCGTTGCCCTGCAAAGTGAAGCTGGACAGGCCCACCTCGAATCGAGCTTTTCGCAGGCAAGCCACTATAGTAACCAGCAACTTTCAACTCTTGCTTGATTTTGTGTGTGGCTCAAAAAACCGGAATTCCAAAATGGGTTGCCCTGGTAAGTGTTTTTCTTGCGTGTTTCTCGTTACAGCTGCCACTTTCGCCAGGGTGATCCATGTCCATGATCCATTGATACTATGGCTCCGGTTTTGGACGGAGGATCTGGCGGCGGCGGTTCGGGTTCGTTCAGGTGGGTGACTTTGGAGAATGAGCCCCTAGGGGTGAGGTTTTTAAGGGGAAACTCGCTTCCTGTTTGGGGCCAACACATCTCCAAACTTTTTGGCTGCCACCAAAAGGGCTTTCCAAAAAGTATACAGGAGCTCAGGGAGTGAGGAAAAAAACATATATATATATATATATCCTCGCCCTTTACTGAACTCTTGGGCTCAGGCTTGAACGTTGGCCAAGATACACCCTCCCAAACCAATTCTGGAAAGTGAAAGAGGGCCCCTGCTTGCATGTTCGGCCAAGTTAGTACTTAGTAAGTGGTTAGCCACCTCTATGATCTCCTCACAAAGTCAACCTCACATTCACGGGTGACTTGGTGGGTAACTGAACGGCTGCCGATACTTAAATTACTTGGCAACAAAAATACACATAGGGAATCTATCTCAGAGGGTGCAAGTGGTGTGTCTTTTGTTCAGGGTACCTGTTTTGGGGGTTGGCTTCAAGGGGAACCAACGGAAAAAGACGACCCATAGAACACCCCAAGAACCAAAACGAGGTTCGAGTCACAGGTTCGATGTGGGCTTCCATTGCTACATCCGAGACTCGTCCTGTTACTCACTTCCGAAGTGGATTAGCAACCCAAAAAAGTGACCACCTGGATCGCCAAGTTGTTGCTTTGTTTTCAGACACTTCACCTTAACCGGGAAAAAGCGTGTCGCAACTGGCGATCCAGGCAGGAACTTGTCGCCACTATGCTCACCCTGGTGACAAAGTCCAACTTTCCAAACTCCGGTGGAATGGGTGCCAGGGTACATGTTCAGCGTGAAACATCGTATATGCCGTATGCATACTATGACACATGTAGATCTCGCTTGTCCTCTAGGGGCCTGGAAACAGAAGGTTAACCTTTTGACACCTTCACCACATGTGGGCCAAAACGGGGAAGCTTTGGTTGCAAGTGAGGGTTGCGGGAAGCTGCAGAAACCCTTGAATTTACTGCAAATGACCTATGGCTCTGTGGTCTAGCATGGTTGTCTTGCATTTAGGGCATCCACAGCAATGTTGACCCCATATTAGTCAACCAACCTGTTTATGAATAGGGAGTGGGGGCCCCTTGAAAAGTAATAATTCCCCAGGGAGAACCACCCAATTCATACACTGATCGGTTGATGAATATGAGCAGCAGATAGGTCTCGGTTTTCTCAAACTATGGAAATGTTGACCCCATATTCGTCAACCCCAGTGTATTAATACGGGGCGGGGTTTGGCAATTGGCCCTCCAAAAGTAATAGTTCCCCACTAAACCGAGGCACGCCCTCACTAAAAATGGTGGTTTGTCCTTTAGTGCCCCCTTTCAAACAACCTTGAGCAAGTTCCCACATTTCACCCAGGGACACCCCCCCATGAATGAACTGGGGTTGATGAATCTGGGGTCAACATTAAAGGGGATAATGTTTACATGTTGCTTCCCTTCAAGCCAATAAACAGGCACCTGGGTACCTGGACCCTCAAGCTAGCCAGGGGAATCCGCCCCATGAAGCTGGGGTCAACATCGTGCACCGATGACCCCGTGGCCGTTCCTTGAGCCGAGGCGCGGAGGTGTGCACCGGCAGCCCGCTCACGCGCCCAGCGATCTTCAGCTCGAAGTGGAAACCCTCGCCCGCGGCCATGTCCACATTCGCCTCATATGTCTCTTAATGCAACATGGTGGTGGTGGTGCTCCTGGTGGTCTTGATACAAAATGTGGCGGTGGTGCTCCTTGTGGTGCTCCTAATTACTTGATGGTAGGCCTCTCTCATTCGCCTAATGGTGGTGTCAAGGTGCTGTGGACGAAACCCGTTTTCACGTTGAAACCATGGTTGAATCCAGCACGCTTATTGGTGTTTACAGCGGAATTCAAATTCTAGTGTTTCTGATAGGTGGTTCACTCTTCCAACCCCCCCCCCAAAAAAAAAAAGAAAGAAGAAAAGGTGGTGCTCCTTGTGGTTTCCTTACAACACGAAAGAAACAACGGGTATCCAAAAAGACGCAGTCAAGTCGTGATGCTGTTCATTTCCGGCGGAGAAACCACCCATCCAAAAATAATAAAAATAAACACCAGGCAAATGGCTGGTTTCCAGGGTTAATTGGTTTCGGGGCTGACTGGGCTGCTTGGGTCAGGGGAGGTACTTTGAGGCTTCTTTGGGTGTGGGCTTTCCCGTTCTCAACCTTATGTTTGAAAGGCACGAAGCATCCCAAACTACTCCTCCATGTGTTTTGTTGGCGGTTTCCAGCCACACCAGTCGACTTTTAGAGTTTCACGAAATTTATCACAACATGGCATAACCCACTCCTCACTTCGTGAGTTCCTAAATTGAAAAGGTTGGGGCTATGCCCCTGTGTCGCGTCTTCGTAGCTCAGATTTGCGAGAACCGAGTAATGTCTTCAGGTGGGTTGATTCGCCCTCCCCCCCTTTTGCGGTTTTCAAGACGTTTCCCAGACCCGCAAGAAATTGGATGGGTCCAAATCCAGAAATAAAGAGGCGCCACCCCCATTTGTCCATTTGTGAGTGGGTTGATACATAGTCACAAGAGTGACATCTAGTCTTGGCTGCAAAACCCCCACCAAATGCAGGCGACCTGGATTTCTCCAGGCCCCAATAGGGTTTGGTTTCGGTTTCATACTGTGGATGGTGGCGAAATCCGCTTCTCGCACCACCTAAGAAACCCAACGGAATGATTCGTTTTCCCTGTAAATACCAACAAACCGTGGTTTCCCACAGTTTCTTAGGTGGTGCAGGATTTCGTCCATCCACGGTATGGACAAGCCATTTGGGTGTGTGTCGTTTTTCACGGGGCCCGCGAAAATGCTGGGTTGTCCTGTTGGCGTTCCTTTAAAAACTAGCAAACAAGGGTACCTATTGTTTCCAACAGCTCTCTCTGATGGGCGATTCGGTGACACCAAAGGCCAGCCATGACACACCACGCTTGTTCGGCCCCCAGCAGTTTTGAGCTGGCTCGGAATCAACCCACGAGCACGCACAAACACGAACAAAGGGGGAGTGTCTTTTTTTTGAGGGAAACAAAAGGAAGGCCACCATATTGGGGAGGTCCAACTTCCTTAAAAAGGCACTCCCAAACTACCCTAAGCATCTTGCAGGGATCCTTACATACACCTGAACATTGCAACTTGTAAATGCTGGTTTCCATTTACTTGGGTGTTGAAAAAGCCAGCAACATGTTTCAAAGGGCTGCGAGCAAAACAAAATTCTTTAAGGAGCCACACAAAAATACACTCCCAAGAGACAACCACCGCTTTTTTCAGTCACTGTTGCGATCGGTTTTGGGGGCAAAGTGCATGGAAAAAAGCGATCGCAACTGGCGATCCAGCTGCATTTACCGGCTTGTGGCAACCACGGGCTTAACCTCAATAGAAAAACCACATTGGACAATGGCGACGGGTTGCCTGGTTGCCTGCTCTCCTGGTAACTGGGATCCATAGGGACACACACACACACCTATATACTGCGTCCAAGGCTTTTTGGATTGAAAAGATCTCGCCGGAAGCATGAGCCAAGGTGCCAAGAGCTCAATGCCTGACCAGCGAGAAAGGCATGGGTCTGCGTATCGATGCCCAAATTCCAGCGACGCAATCTTGCCGGTGGTGTTTTTGGGCTGATGTGTTGCCTCAACCCAGTGCTTCCAGTTCACTAGACAAATTTTATCATGCAAACCTGGAGTGACCTACTCGACCCGAGTGGCGATCAGAACTTGACTTGAACAACACACCAAAAAACAAACTGAATACACAAAAAGCAAAATAAACAATCAATAAGCCCCGGCGGGTATCCAACGCAGCCGCGGACGGAACCCTCTCCGGAACCCTCCTTGTCTGCTCCCAACGAATCCAGAGCCTATCTGGGCAGAGACCAAATCCATAGGGAAGCTTTATGTTCGTTCGAACGCATGTCGCAACAACGGGCAGCAAATTGTTACAGAGTTCTTCTTCGGACAGTGCTGGTTTGAATGGAGACCCTACTGGACCGGCGCTTATGGACGTCGACCAGGTGAACAAGGGCTATGGCAAATGGCAGAAAGCTTTCAGCTGTTGGGGGGGAGAAAACAAAAACTCCCAGGAGGTCTGACGGTGGCTTACCTGGCGGGGGCTTGTTTAACCTACAAGCTTGCCGCTTGCCGTTGACCCTTGCCCCCCGCAATATGCACATGTTTTGTTTTTTGGCGGGGGGCTCCATAGCAAATATAAGGCTGTGGCGTTGTGTGGGGGTTCCAACTAGATGTCCGACCGGAAAACAAACATCGCAAGCACCAGGTGGACCAGAATCCTCAGAAGCAAAATCCAAGAAGGGAACCGCAAAAAAAAAACAACGGAATTGCGGAAACTCCCCTTGGTTTGGTATCAACCCCATTGAGGGCCTAGGCAACAAAGACACATCAAAGACGCATCGCCCCACGCTTGAACTGGAACACGAGTCCAACCGACCCCGACTAAGTGGTTCGCGACCAGCAGGAAACCCCCAGCTAACCGCGTGTAAACCATGGCTAGGGCTACAAGCCAGTCAGTGATCCCTCCAAACCATCTAAGGGTCAATACCCCATCCAATGCAGACCCCATGCAGAACCCAAGGGTCACCCCCAAAACGGCATCATTTGTTGAGAACATTTTGAGAACCACCCCAACCTCAAATGGTGTACCCTTTGGGCTTCGTCTAGTTTGCATCTGCGATTTGGTGCCAAAGGCACCCTACCAATCCCCGACAGACACGATTGTGGACAAATATATCCCTTTCCGGACTACCAAAGTGGTTGATTATGCAACGGATTTTACCCAGGTGTTCATAGCAAGAAACCAAAAACCCTACATGTTCCCCAAGGACCTAGGATCCCTCAGGATGGTTGCCCAACATGATTAAGGGGATGGAGAACTCAGGTGATAGAACGTGCCAACCGGATATTTCGCACAATGGGACCCTACCCCCCGAAGACCCCCATACCAGTTCATTGCCATAGTAATTAAGTAGCCAGGGAACACCATGGTAAACCCTAGCGGACAAAATAAACATGGTGACCTGCTTTGGCTGTCTCCCCACCCTAAAAACAACTCAGGAACCGGATGGCTCGTTGAACCAAGTTGCAGGAAACCAAGGATACAGGTCTCTACCGCTTCCCTACAAGTCAACCCCAAATCTGCGAAGGTTTTTGGAAGGGATGCGAACTTGACCTGACAAAGGGTGGTCTGCTTGTCATGTGCTAGGAGCAGTGAACATGAAGAACAAAGCAGTTCTGAATGTGGCAAGGGTCCAACGTGCGCTGTATTTCCCCTGTTAAACATCACTTTGCCCAAAAAACAAAAACAAGCCTTTCTAACTCATCACGAGAAGGTGGTGTTTTTTGGTTTCTAAAGGGCAACAAAGGGACACCACAAATTGGATTGTGTTGATTTTTCTTTTTGTATTTTCTCTGTTTTTTTTTGGGGGAGGGCGGTTCCCTATTGTGACACATACCCCAAAAAGGTGAACTGGACAAAATAGGTAGATCCCCTTTACCACCTAGAAACAAACATCAATGGGCGTAGAGTCGACTTCGTTCCTTGACCGGAAAGAAAAACCACGGAAAAAGCCAAGAGCTCAAAATCTTGCACGGAGCGGTTCCCGCGAGAGAACTTCGAAACGCAACGGGTTTCAGGGCCGGCCACGACCGGTCTCCCGGTCTCCCACCCATTGGTTTAAACATGTTTAAACCACTGGTGATGATGATTCTTCCCTTGTAAAGGTGCTTCCATTTGCTTGAGCCCCCTGAAAACAAAAAAAAACATATGTCCAGTAGTGATAGATTCACTTTAACACCAAGAGGGAAACATTAAATAACAAATGTTCATTTCAGCAAATGGAGGCGTGGTGTTTCAACCACATTTTGCCCCAGGGTCCGTTTCGACCCTCACGGGGACTCCCCGGGACCCCGAGACCCGCCTTCCTGAGCGCCTCGGCCCGTGTGCGTGGCCACGATGTGCTTCAGCACCGGGTGCTTCGAGCCTCGCTAGGTGAGAGGGCTCGGTGCGCCTAGCCTGGACCTGAGGTCCGACTTCCCGTAAAAGAAAGGGGGACGTCACCAACATAACACGTACAAAAAGGGGGAAGTCACCAACAAACCCGTGCAAAAAAACACCAACAAACCCATGCAAAAAAAGGGGAAATCACCCCAGCACCCATACAAAAAGGGGGAAGTCACCAACATAACACGTTCAAAAAGGGGGAGAAGTCGCCCCAGAATGTTGGGTTGCAAAACAAATTTATGTTTAAGGGGATTTTGAAGGGTCCAGGTACATGTTGGCTGCTTTTCAAGTATTTTTGTGGTACACCCAAATAATGGAGTTGGACCTGAAAAGAGGTGGGTTTGCCTTGCAAAAGTTTGGCTTCGAGCCGCTAACCGGGGAGACAAAAGAGAGGGACCAGGAGAAAATGGCGCTCTCAAACGCTTCCGAAAGGGAGCCCCAACCGGGCCCCTGCTTGTTTGCTGCACCAACAAAAGGACCATTTGCTTGAGCCCCCCCGAAAGAAAAAAAATATGATAAATATGTCCAGTCGGTGTTCTAATTATCTAGTTAAGTACAATAAGCCAACCTACAACAAATCATATCAACTCAAAAGAACACACGCTCAGCTTAAAAGTAAGGGTCCAGAAAACCGGAACTGCAGTTGTGTTCCTCCAAACTGGGAGGGCTGGAACCACCAATTCTAGGTCCTCCAGATTTGAGAGGATAGAATAAGGGTACCATTTTTTTTTCGGTAGTCTATTTTAGTAGGGGAACCCTCCCAACCAAAAAGGGGAGAGGGCACTACTGGCAGACCTAGATTTTTTTTCGCCACAGGCAACTAGACTCGTCACGACCCCCAGGCTCTGCTTGTTTGCTCCTTAGGTCTTTCTGATTCCGCTTCGGAAAGAAGCTGCTGCAGCTTGAGGACTCTGCCTGAAAGAGGGCACCCCTGGTGAAAGCGCCTCCTGTTGAAACCAAAGAGGTCCCTTTTGGCAGTTCCATTGGGGAGAGGGAGGGAGCTCAAATAAACCCCAAACGAGCTAATGTGGGCTCCCTTCCCCCTCCCCGTTGACATACATTCCAGGGAGTCGCCAAACAAAACTCGGCCTGTGTTCCACAAGGTTCTTCCCAACTTTCGGGTGAGCTTTGCGCTGGCAAATGATCAGAACATGAATGAGTCAAATGCCGAATTGCGTGTCGAACATAACTTGGTGTTGCCTCAAATCATGGATTTCTTAGTGGGTTTGAAATCCCATCCGAAAAAGGCGCCCCAAATGGACAAACCTGACTGGCTTCTTTTCGGTGTCCCTTGAACATGGTACGACCCAATATAGAGGTTTACAACAATGCAGGGTTAAAAGCAAACCTACCCCAGATATATTGCCCCCACCCAGAAACAACAATTTTCATTATGATCCATATTTAGCAAACCTACAACGAGATCTTCTAGAACCCTCCTTTTTTTTTTTCGGGTCGAACTCCAGGTAAAACCCTCCCATGCGTGTTCTCATGTTTCGGGTGTCAGCGGAGCTCGGAAGCTCCGAAGGCTCAGTGGAAGCTCAGAAACTCAGCTCCCGGCCAATATCAAACTCGGTGCTGATTTGGATGTCGATGTTGAAGCCTGCAACTGAGCTACTAGGTCCAGTGGAGAAGTTATAATAAGGGTAGCAACTTTTTTCGGTGGTCTAGTTTAGTAGGGCAACCCTCCCAACCAAAAAAGGGGTCAAAAAGGGCACTACTGGGGGACCTAGTCATCCAATTTAGCTAGAGAAAGAACAGAGAGCTCCCTTTTTGTCCGTGCCCAGAAAAGGCCAGGCGCGACGATGTTTCTCAAAACGGGGAAAAAAGCTGCCAGCTGGGCCTCCTCACCTCTTGAAGAAACCATATGGCTGTGGCTCAAAAAGGGGGGTCCATAGCAAATGGAAAGGTCGAAGAAAACCTGTGTAACCCCAGCTTTTTAATTTTCAGCCACATCCATATAGAAGCCTGTGGACGAAATCCGCGCACCTGGGATGGAATATTTGTGTCCGCCAGAATCTCAACCTGATTGAAGCCACGAACCCGCACGCAGATTACTTGACGACAGTTCCGAACTTCTTTCGCGACCCCTTCCCGAGACAATTTCCGAGCCGGTGTGTTGGTTTCCGAACCAGCCTTGAAAAACCAGCGGGAAAAAAGGTTGGCTACTAACTATAGTGGTAACTTAACATTGATTGGGATATACCGAGCATGGCTTCTCAAAGCACCACGAAAAGCAAACAAGAAACATCGAAGTCAGCGAGCTGTAATTGTCCGCTCTTGGCTAGAACACTTATCGAAGTCATAACTTAGAATCCCTAGGCAACGCCTGAAACGTTTCCAGGAACAACAAGGCAGCAACTTCGAGGTTGGTCGAAATTACTCCCTCAAAATCCCAGCTCGGCCTAACCATATCGCGGTGTGTCAAAAATGGGTATCCAAAATGGACACCTGGAAATTGGACACATGGACGAAAACCTGCGGTCTCCTGGTGATTTAACTTGATCCATGCTGAAATCACACAGTTGCTCAAACATCTTCATCGCCGTTCAACTTTCAAGTGGACCTGTGACCTTTCGAGGACGAAAGAGAAGCGTCTTTGGTGGCCTCCTGCGAACATGCCGAGGGGCCAGGTTCTTGTGTTAGACGTCGCTATCAAAGCCTGGCATTAACCCGGCCTACCCGAATCCATCTGCAAACAAGGGCGGCCGGACCCATTCATGGTTGGGACTGTCCCCCGATCCAACCCCCTCCAGTCCCAGAAAGCCCATAAAAGTCCCTGCAAATTATATGGCAAAAGTATGGGGGGCAATCACTCCCCAACCACCAATGCCTTTGTGCACAGGTGCATCTACCGTAGGCTGGAGGGATCCAGATTCAACAGCCGAGGTGTCCATTGCTTCAGGCGCTCGCTTTCCAGCTGCTTGAAGCTCCTTCACTCGTGCTGAGGCCTGTGGTGCCGGGAGGGCATAGTCTCAGGTGTTGACTCGATGGTCGCTGGGCTGAGCCGGGCAATCGCGTACTCGCCCGGTGCCACTTGCTGCTCCTCCTTCCGCGTCACCAAATTGGCCCCAAGGACATCTGCGTCCAGGAATGGTTGGGGATTTCAAGCACACCTGAGACCAGCAAGCAAACAAGCAACAGGGTCTTCGGCTGAATTCTGGGGAACATGATCGTGAACCTCCCAACCGTTCCCTAGAAGAAATCAAAACATAAGCGACTGCTAAAATGAAACGTGCCGTTTGCGGGCTTAAGAACCTCGCTTGCATGTTCCAGCTAAGGCAGCTTTCATGCTCTTGCACTAGGGCTTGCGCCTGAATGACCCTGGATTGTTTCCCTCTGAGCAACCAGAAGCAAGGGTTTTATTTCATGTTGCGCCCCTCAAAATGACAGTTCTGTGTATCCACTGGCAAGGGCGATTCTAAGCTGTGCCTTCAAGCCTGAACCTGAGACCACGGACGCACGCCGCCCCCAGAAACTGATAGGGGCGAACGCCCTCAGCTTCCCGGCACCGGTCCACGCCAAGAAGCCCATTAGCTTCTTGGATCTAACCGCAGCGGAAACCTCTCGAGAGACCTCAGTTCGCCAAAAAAAAAACTGACTCCCTGGACCCTCAAACTACCCATAAAAAAGGGATATCACCCCATAATTTTACTATAATTATGGGGGCCAACCATTTTTAAGTTGGAATTTTGAGGGTTCAGGTAACTCCAAGAGTCCTAGGAGTCCTGGGCCTTCTTTACTTTCGGGACCATTTTTGGCCGCTTGGACAAGTGTCAACCCCATGAACTCGTTTCGAGCGTACCATCCAACAGCCCAAAGGGGCTTCGCACCTGAGACAATTTTTGCCAAATGACGGGCAACTTTCGCCATGTGGCTCTTGATGTTCATAGGGTTTGGTGGACATGAATCCCAGCAAAGGGCTCCGTATTCAAACTCACATTGCGTGGTTTCCCCTTTTCATCCCACGTAAAGGAGCTTCTGATCAACACCACATGACGCAACGGTACGCACTTTTGCACGGCCTTAACAAGCATCTGGGGAAAACGGACAAATCCTTGCTTTGGGAGCTTTCCGCACAGCCTGCAACGTCGGAGAAAACAAGGCAAATCCCAACTTATGCCAAACTGGCCCCCAAAACAAGCTTAGTGGATCGATTTACCTGGTAAAGGCAGGTAGCCAAGGGCTTGCCACGCTTTGGAAAAGCAAAAGGAAGTTTGGTGATTGCCTATTCTCGTGACAATGTTGACTGCAAAAGTGGTAAACTCATCCCAGAAGGGGAGACTCCCTGATCAAACCGAGGGACAGTCGCGTTCCAACCTTGGCGGCCTTGCACAAAATATATTGTGGATGGCATGAACCCCACCAGTGGAGTCGCGTGTTAATTAAACTACCTATGGTGCCGACGTTACTTTGTCTCGCTCTCTCTTAGTATTGAAACATCAAAGCGGCAAAACTTTGACCAACCGCCCTCAGGTCCGAGTCCGCGCCCCCGGTGGTGTGATTGTGGCGCAAATGCTGTGGTATATGGAACCAACCAATACCATGGTTGATCAAAAGGTCCGAACATGGGATTACCAGGCAAAACCACCAAAAAGATGACTCTCCCACATGGGACAAATTACCCATGCGGCATTTGGGGACCAGGAATATTGAACTTCAAGCAACGAAACCAGGTGAGATAACTGGGGTAACTGGGGCTGACCAGAGTAATCTATGGTTTGAAGACCCAAGTCAAACCTGCGTAACCCCAATTTTTCGCAACTTAACTGCACACATATACAACCTCGTGTCTGGCATTGGGCCTGGAAGAAGTTGTTGTTTGATTGTTTTTTTTCTCCGGGTCTGTCCGATGCCCGGCTTGTACTCAGCCCTTCTTTGGGGATGAGCATGCCAAAGCAGCACATCTGATCCAGCGGCATTTGTCTAAACAAAATGCAAAAGGAATCATCGCCTGGATCTATGGTTTCACCCCAACCCAGTCCAGCCACAAAACCCAAGTATACTCCCTCGCTATGGCTTCCCCAACCCAGTCCAGCCGAACAACCCAAACAAAACGCCCCTCGCACGACCAGAAATCCATCGAATTTGCTGGACTCCACGCAGAGACGGATGAAAATCAGCTTCCCCCTAGTTGGTGATTTAGGGATTGGTGGCTTGGTGGGTTCAATGGTTTCCCATTTACCCTCAAGGTCCAGGGGTGCAAATCCAAATCAAAATCCACAAGCCCAAACCAACTAAGGGTTACCTGATTCAATAAGCCCAAGCAAAAAAGCGAGATGGGGGTGTAAATCAAATCCTCAAACCACCAATCCAAACTACCAACTAGGGGTGACCTGATGTAATAAGCCCCCCCCCCCCCAAAAAAAAAAATGATGAGGTAGGGTTGTAAATCCAAATCCTCAAACCACCAATCCAAACCACCAACTAAGGGCTAGTTCAAATCCGTAAAACCACCAATCCAAACCACCAACCAAGGGTTAACTGAATGAAAAAGGCCGAAACAAAAGAAAAGAGGGTGTAATTCAAAATCCAAATCCACCAATCAAAACCACCAACTAAGGGTTGGTTTAAATCATCAAACCACCAATCCAAAACACCAATCCAACCCACCAATTCAAGGTTGGTTCAAATCCAATCCAAATCCATCAATCCAAACCACCAACTAAGAGTTATTTGATCTGACGACCCGAACAAAACAAAACTCCGAACCACCAATCCAATCTACCAACCAAGGGTTACGCGGTTTTTTTCCGCGCCCAACGAACAAGAACAAGCAAAACAATTCCAATTGTTTTTTTTCGCCCCCTGAAAGAAGAAGAAGAAAAACACACACACACACAAAAAAAAAACAAAACATCCTGCAGTAGTGAAATAAATTCCCTTTAAAACCAACAAGATAAATATATATATATATATATAAAATTGTAAAACCAAACCAACACTCCTTTCAGCAAATGGAAGCAAACCGGGTCGAGCTGCGATTTGCTTGGTGAGCTCATTGAAGGCCATGCGGGAGTGCGGCCAGGTGGTCTCCAAGATGTAGTTCACCCAGCCTTGGATTTGAACCAACCTCAAAAACTCAGCCTTTAATTGGTGGGTTGGATTGGTGGATTAACCTTTAATTGGTGGGGAAATTGGTGGATTTGAACCCTTAGTTGGTGGGTTGGAGGGGAAGTTGCATCGATGTCTTATCTTATTTGTGTGGTACATGGGGCTTCCCACCGAAAAAGAAGACAGGAACATGGCGCTTCCGGGTTGCAGGAGGGGGGAACTGAGATTCACTGGGCAAGGGTGTCCATTGAAAACATACCCCCTAGATAGCCAAGTTGCGATCGCTGTGTTTAGTCACTGTGGCTGGTGTTTTGGGGTAAAGTGGATGGAAAAAAGCGATCGCGACTGGCGATCCAGGAACCTTTAATTGGTGGGTTGGATTGTTGCTTTGGATGTTTCACATGTTCGGGTCGTCAAATCAAATAACTCTTAGTTGGTGGTTTGGATTGGATTTGGAGTGGATTTGAACCAACCTGTAATTGGTGAGTTGCATTGGTGCTTTGGATTTTTCATTTGTTCGGGTCGTCAAATCAAATAACTCTTAGTTGGTGGTTTGGATTGAATTTGGAGTGGATTTGATCCAACCTGTAATTGGTGGGTTGGATTTGTGCTTTGGATTGGTGGTTTGATGATTTAGACTAACCCTTAGTTGGTGGCTTGGATTGGAGGATTTTTGGATCTGGCTTCGATTTTTCTTGACCAGAGGCCCCAATTCGATTGATTTAGGGCCTTCAAACAACCTGGGTTTAGATCCCCAACCACCTCCGGGGTGTCTAATGCTTCGGGGTCGGGTCTTCCATTGAACGCCGAAGCCGATCGGAGCCTCTGGGTGATGTCGGGGAAGCGCACAAAAATACCCATGGGTCTGGAAAAAGCAAAGAAACATACCCATGGGTCTGGAACAAGCACACAAAAGATACCCATGCCCTTGTGGTTTCTCCTGTAAATTCCAAGTCTTCGGGTGCCATTTGGCACCCAGTGGAAAATATACACCCTTGTGATAAGGCTGCTGCGCATCTAGGTCCTCCAGTTTTGGAGGTTAGAATAAGTTGGTACCAACTTTTTCCTGTAGTCTATTTTAGTAGGGGAACCCTCCCAACCAAAAAAAGGGGGTCAACAAGGGCACTGCAAAACCCAGGCGTGACGAGCTTCAGAAAGTGGCCCGGGACCCTTGCCGTGGCTGGCGACTGGGTCCAATGAGTTAGCGGCTTTGCGGCAGGTGCAGGGCTGTCTTTCTTGGATGGTATCCATTTTGGTTGATGTCGGGAGTAAGGAAAACCCAAACGACCAAAACGCAAACCAGTACTTGGGGAGTCCAGAAAGAAAAGACCCCACATCTGAACATGGTTGGCCGCGTTTTGACTTAGCCTTAAATGCAACCAGTGATTTCGCGGCAATCAAGGAGGACACTAGCCACAGAGCCTAGAGGCAACAACTTTCGGGGTTACCTGGCAGATGGCGAAACGCCTCGAAGCACTTAAATGATTTGGTTGCTTCAAACATACATAAATTGAACTGGCCTGGATCGCCAGTTGCTGCTTTTTTCCATCCACTTTACCCCAAAAACACCGCAACAGTGACTAAACAAAGCGATCGCAACTTGGCTATCTAGGGGGTATGTTTTCAATGGACACCCCAGTGAATCTCAGGTCCCCCCTCCTGCAACCCGGAAGCGCCAGAATTTCCTGTCTTCTTTTTCGGTGGGAAGCCCCATGCACCCCAAAAATCAAAGAGACATCGTGGCAGCTTCCCCTCCAAAAGATCGATGCGACTTCGCAACGTGACCTGGTAGGAATCAGCTACGGTTGGCACGTATTCGGGGATGAAAAGGGCGAGTCGCACCGGGTCCATGTGCGAACCTGTGAATGGGGCCGGAGAAATGAGGGGCCCCGGGGGTCAGCCACAGAGACACGCCTTCACAAAAAGCGGACACCAACGCAGACTCCCGTCTAGCAACTAGGGTGTCGGGTCCCCGGACCACTTGGATGGTCAGCCAACTTAGTAAGTAGCTTGTAACCCCGGTTATAAGGCAGCTACCACCTTGGTTACAACCTACTTGCTAAGTTGGTTGAACATCCAAGGGCCTTAGGGAGCCAGCCAAATCCTAAGGTCTTCCCAAAAAGGACCCCCCCACAGAACACGTCTATCAACCATGGGCTCTGAATCCAAAGGTCTTCGCCCCACGCCGCAAAAAAGTCTATCGAGGGCTTTTCTTCCGGGGCTAAGCTGACCTCCAAGGAATCGCAACTTGGAGCCCTGCCTAAAACTCCGCAACCAACGTTCCCCAAGTGTCTGGGAATTTCACAAACCCATCACGCGAGTGGAGTGGGAAAGGTGACCGAAAGACGCCTTGACCCCCCGCCGGCAAAAAACCTGCGACTGAGTCCGAAACGGAACTCAGAAGGTGAGTAATAGAATGTGGGGAACCACAGCAGCAAGCTACCTGGCCCTGGCTTAAACTAGGTCCTACCCAGTCGATTTTAGTAGGGGAACCCTCCCCCAAAAAAGGGTAACAGGGCCAGCCAAGCTACATGGCTCAAATGTGGCAAAGAGCCTTGGACTCACCTTCTCTGTTGCCAGTTTCGTGCCCAGCGCGTCTTTTTTAGTTGGCTGCTTCGAGCTTTCGGTGTCGACCGGAATGGATTTATCCCACGGGTTGGACAGCGTTCCGGTAGGATACAGTGGTAGCTATAGGATGATACGTACATCCAAACACCCCGTGGTTCTGAGCTACTTGCAAGTTGAACCAAGTGCGACGTATGACCCCGTACACCCAAGACTCTGCTTTTGGGGTATGATGTCAACTCCTGACCAAACAAGAAGTTGTTCCCCAAAAGAACTTTGGCCAACATAATATACCCTTAAAGCAAGCGGAGATTTGGAGCAGGTGGATACTCTTAACATTCATACCATGTAAGGCCTATAGTATTATTGCGAGTTAACCAGGTAGTACAACCACGCGAGGGCCGGTCATACAGTCTTATGCGGTGTGGTTCTTTCTTTTAAACTTTTGGGATTTGGATCCCCAGCACGCGACGGTTTTCCTTTTGGTATCCCTGAAAACAACCAACCAAAAAGGGGTACCTGGACCCTCAAACTACCCATAAAAAAAGGGATATCACACCATAATTTTGGGGGTCAAACCCATTTTAAGGGAATTTTGAGGGTTCAGGTACCACCAAAGAAAGACATGCCCATCTACTCCTTAGTATGAGCCATCTGAAGCCGGGTATGCTGGGTCCTCCAGAGGTTACAATGGGGGAACCTCTTTTTTTCTTTTTCGGTAGTCTATTTTTGTAGGGGAACCCTCCCCGAATAAAGGGCAAAAGGGCACTACTGGGGGACCTGGTTAGTATAAGCCATCTGAAGCCGGGTATGTCTCTTGTCACCTTACCAAAATACAACCAACGCCCAGCCGCCGAGGGAGTCATGCTGATCCTCGTGGGAGCTGTTCACCCGAGCCTCACCGAGGCCGATTTTACCCAATTTTCCGTGAGGGCGCTTTCAGTTGCCACTATACTGGGCTGTCCTCAGATCCCCGCTAAAAGTTTAACTTTTCGTGGGGTACATGGAAATCCCCACTAACACTAAAAGGCTAAAAAGCTAAGGAACCGGATGGCTGGGAACCACCAAGTATGTAAGACCTAGTCCATTTTCCTGTATAGAGTAGGTAAGTACCCAGGGGATCCAAACCTTTAAACGCCAAAAACAATTTGGCGGTCACCTACTACAGTGGTGAAACGCCTGGGATCCACTAGGTAGGTAACCAGGGCTTTCTTTTACCTCTAGGTTGTACATCATGGTCCCCCCAAATGGTGGGTTCCGGGTGAGGTTGGTGGAAATATGGGGAACCTACTTCCAAGGTTCAACCGAAATTACCAACGTTGGGTGATAAGGAGACCAACCCCAGCCCCAGTTCGCATTGGTCTAAGTGGGGTGAAGCTCCATGCAGGGACAGTTTGACCTTCGCTTCATTTCTTTCAGGTATATCCACTACCACAATACGAACCTGCCACAATACTGTGGAAGGTTGCAAAATTCATTTCGCACCACCTAAACAAACCCTGGATTGATTCGATTCCCCTGTAAATGCCAACCAGCCATTTGGGTTTTTCCTGGTTTGAAAGTATCCTGCACCACTTGGATAACACGGGAAACCATTATTTGCTGGTAAATCACCGGGGCATGATCAGAAACCAGGGTCTCTTAGGTGGTGCGAAATGGATTTCGCAACCATCCACAGCCAGGGCCGGGGCCGGGGCCAGGCAGGGTTAAGCGTTACTCAACTGGTTTTGAGGGGATATCACTCGTCTAGGTCCTCCAGTAGAGAGGCTAGAACAAGGGTACCAACTCTTTTCTGTAGTCTATTTTAGGGGAACTCTCCCCCAAAAAAGGGGAGAGAAGGGCACTACTGTGGGACCTAGCCATTTACAAGCAACCAAGGGAACCACCCCTTCAACCCTGATTTCTCACGTCAAACACTTCAGAATGGGAATGGGAATGTAGGGGAATCAGCAGCTTCAACTGTTATCTTCCTCTCTCAGGTTGCAACTCTATCCAGGGCTGTGGGAAATGGAATCCACTTGCAAGAAAAAGGTCCCCCAACCCATCGTGCAAAACTCGCGGAGACCACGCATCGGCACCCTTGGACTCGGTCCGAACGGTTCCATGTGGACGTTGGGGACTCGGGTCTTTCGGCGGGTCAAATTGAGGGGACCCCAGGGTGCTAAGCAGTGAGGGTACCTGAACCCTCAAAATTCCAACTTAAAAATGGGCTTGACCCCCAAAATGATGGGGTGATCTCCCTTTTTGTTATGGGTAGTTTGAGGGTCCAGGTACACATCTTGACTTTGTTTCTGGGCTGCCCGTTTTCGAATCCCCCGCTAAAAGTTTAACGTTTAGTGGGTTAGTTAAATGGAAACTACCACTGAACACGAAAAGCCTAAAAAGCTGAGGGAATGGCTGGGAGCCACCAAGGTTTGGCGCGCTAGTGCCCTGGGAACCAAAAATACCCAGCCGGCGACTGTTGCTTAGAGTTCTGACATCCTTTCGGACACGTCACGCATCAAAATGACCCAAACACTCCCGAAGACGGGGGGGTCCTTCCAACTCAAGTTAAGAGCATTCCTGGTTGGTGTCCTGTTCAGGGTCAGACCCTACTTCCATTTGCTTAAGTCGCCTTGAAAAACATCTTTCCAGTTCTAGGTCCCCTTCAACAACCAAGGGGAACATCAATGGACGTAGAAAACGGACCCCGTTCTCATGAGAAAAACACGATACAACATGCACAACTCGGAAAACAAATGGCCGTGGCTCAAAAAACCGGTACCAAAATGGCACCTTGGTAAATGGAACCAAAGACTAAAACCGCCCTTAACCCCAGCTTCTTTAATTTTGAGCCAAATATGTGCTGAAACGTCAATGGAAGCTTAGCAGGGTCCGTGAGCGTCTGGCTGCCCGCAAAGAGCCCTGAGTTGGACGGGGCCCGGCTGAGAAACGAGCTGAAAGACGCCCCAAGACTCGAGTGCTAGCTTCCATTTCCATGCTATCCAGGGATCCTTGTTTCTAGACCTCCGGAAGCCAACCAGAAAAACCGCAGATGTTAGTCTATGTCTCCACTTGCCAGGGTTCCATTTTGGGTACCTGGACCCTCAAACTACCCATAAAAAAGGGATATCACCCCATAATTTTGGGGGGCAAACCCATTTTTAAGGGTAGTTTGAGGGTCCAGGTACTTACTTTTGACCCACAGCCACCCTTTGAAACCAAGCTATTTAGAGGAGTTCCACCCACAACCCACCAATTCGAGCGGCCTTCAAACTTGGCCTGGTTGAGACCGGGTCCAACCACCGGTGAGCGGGGTGTCGAATTTGCTTCGGGCTCGGGTCCATCAAAACCCGAAGCCCGTCAAGGAGCCCCTGGGAGGGATCCGAATCATAGAAAACCTCCGGAAGCCCAGGGAAACGGCGATCGGTTCTCGTTAAAAGAAGGATGCTTGGGTCTGAAGAAGGCACCAACCGATAGAAAAACCAAACTCGAAACCGCCCGACCTCCTCCCCCTCTGTTTCTTCTCCCAGTTTCAGGACTCAGCTTCTTTTTCCTCTAAAAAAGGTGGCTTGGTGGGTTGGAGCTGATGTCGCCGAAGTGCTTCTCTACAAGCGCGCAACAAAATTCCCAAACCACCAGGTAGCCCCTGATCAGAACCGTCTTTCTCAGCTTACGTACCCAAACCACACAGGGCTTCAAATCCAAATCAAGCCTCCAATCACCAGCAAGGGGTGCCTGACGGGCTTGACGGGCTACTTCCCTAAGGAACATTCTAGGGTTTGATTCCCCATTCTTCTCAACCGTTGTTCTTTTCGATCACCGGATCTGTTTCCCCTGGCGTTTTGGATGGTTTCCTTAAAACAAAAATGGATCCCTGGAAAGAATGGCAAAGTGTCCCCTAATGTCCCCTAGATTTCTGGAAGAACCGTTTGACTCCAAAAGGTCTCTCAGTATGGTCCCCTGGAAGCTTCCCCTCGAAAAAGAAGAAGCACATGCTTCCCCTAGACAAATCCCCCCTGCTTTTTCTTCTTCTCCTAGCCTCCAGGACGCGGTTTTCCTCTAAGGTGGATGGGTGCCAAGGAAAAACGAAAAAAAATCCGCCGGCGGTGCATACTTGAAGGGCGAGGACGCTCCGGAGCTCAGCGAGTCGCAGCCTCGATGCTCGATGAAAACGGCTCGGGGTTCGGAGGAAAAAAAACTCCTCCGGAGAAGGCCCCGGGCCTACTGCAGGAACTTTTAAAGGGGAGACCAAACCCTTTCTTTGGGGTTTGCCATGGCTTTCCTCTTGGGTTTCCCTAAAGAAAAACACGTTTCCTTGGGGTGTTCCATGGTTTTCCTCTTGGCTTCCCTCAAAAAAAACAAACCAAACAAGGGGTACCCTCAGCAAAAAGACACCCCCGCATACTTGGAATGGGGTTTCGGAGCAAGAGGAGAGGAGTGCAAGAAGCCCTACCCTGTGGGTGGGTTTGGGGTAGTTTTTGCCAGCCGGCTGACCCGCCGCCCAAGCCTTTTTTGTTGGCTACTTTTTTCTTTGCCGTGTTCCCCTTCTCTTGATGCGGACTCTCAAAAACCCTGCATTTTACAAGCTTTTTCCTTCCGCGCCAGCGTTCATTCCATGCTTTTGCGTGCAAACTCCCGTTTCTTCATTGGCCATTCAGTGCGCATGGAACCATGCAGCGCGTGGACGGGCCCGTCAACATATGTGCCATGTACGACACAGGCAGCCATGCATCCCGTGGACGGCCATTGCAACGCGTGAAAAACAGAGTATATTATGCCACAAATAGCAGTACATTTGCAAAATTGTGCACGAATTACGCGGAAAAACGGAACGACACCTGCGTTTCAGGCGTACATGCGCACATGCTGGCGCATAGGTTAACGTGCCCGTCCACGCGCTGCGTGGGTACTTGCGCACATGCTGGCACAGATGTTAAGCCCGTCCACGCGCTGCAGGCTTACATGCGCACATGCTGGCGCAGAGGTTAACGTTCTACATACATGAGCTCACGGCGGACTTCTCACGCCCGGCTTGTCTCATGTTGGCGGGGTCTCAGTGCAGACAGATTTTCTTGGAGCATGTTGCGTTGATGGCTTGCTCTGCCTACTTGTATATCAGCTACGCTTGTCGCTTGCTCACTGGTTGGAAACGGCGGTTTTCTTTCGCACGCTCACTGATTCACGTTGGCGGGATTTGAGTTTTGGCATGCACTTTTCTCCAGAAGCATCCCAAAATAAGACAAAACAGGATTCACTGTAAAACGCAGGGAATGCTCAACATGTCAATTGCATATTCGCAAGGGCGGCAAGACAGCCTACCCAGTTTTCCCGGGTTTGGGTCCCTTTCCCCGTCTGAGCGCTCTGGGGCAAGCCCCCAAATGCCAAACTCCCCCGGCAACCACGTACTCTTCCAGGACCCCTCAGTCAGGTTCCACGCTAGTGGACGGGAGGGTTCTCTTCAAATCGCAGAAACTAGTTACCTGGACCCTCAAACTACCCATAAAAAAGGGATATCACCCCATAATTTTGGGGGTCAAACCCATTTTTAAGGGTAGTTTGAGGGTCCAGGTACACCATATCCCATGCCAAGAGGCAACGTCACCTATTTCCCTACCCGTTTCTCGACCTCAACCCAAAGAACGCACGGGGTTTCGTCACATCCATTCCCCTCGAAGCAGAAAAACCAACAAATGTCCTCCGCTTATCCTGACCAAAGGACAACCTCACATTTTCTAGCCATAAAACCTCCCCTAGCCAATTTTTGTCCTACCCTTATATTAAATCTTAACTTTCTGTCGGACTACCATTAATCAATGGGTAGGCAATACAGGAGAAGTTGTTCTCCGGACACTGAACGATGAAAAATGATTTTGGGGGTGGGAAATGAGAGAACACACGGAAACCAAGAGAACACCCCGCCATTTGGAAGTGCCCCCCCCCCAAAAAAAAAAGAAGAAAGACACACCTATGTCATATCCGCACCAATGTTTGGCCCGGGCACTGTCTCTACTCCAAAAAAAACACGGGTTACATCTCGATGCGTAGCCACACGATGGTCCTTTGGTGTTGGAACCTAGAGACCCCTTCACTAATTGTTGCTCTCGCCCTCTGAGCTAAAGTTGGCTGGACCTTTTGCAGGTTTCATGAAAGGGCCACTTGATTCCAAGACTCGGTTGCTTTCTGCCCCCCTGCTAAAAGTTTAACTTTTAGTGGTTTGATGGAAAACCCATTAGTGGGCAAAAAGTTAAAGTCCTAACATCCAAGCAAAATGCACCAAAGAAACGGTCTCTCCAGAGCGATTCGGTCAACTTTGACCAAATCTGTTCATTTATCTAGATCGGTCTTGTTTTTACAATTCTATGCCGGGCCGCTCTTCGTCTTCATCCTCTTCGAGAACTCAGTGATCAAAGAATGATCTACGGCAGGGCTTGAATTCGCCTCGCGCGCCGAAAGGGCAAGGAACCCCCGAAACCCTCCTTTGCTCCAGAACGGGGAGGAATAGGGGCACTTGTTAGATACTTGGTCTAGGGAAGAATAGGGAACCTAGTGGTATCATTTGGTATGAGGGAACCATAGGGGCAACCTGTTCAGTTCTCGTATTTTGGTACTCAAAACAGAAAACACTGGCCGTCCGAAGATTCTCTCAAGAATTGTCAGAGAACGGGTTGTCACCTGGACTCGAAAATGCGGAGAAAGATATCCCAGATCGACTGTGGATGGACGAAATCCGTTCGCACGACTTTGAAACCATGGCTGAAACCCTTACTTGTTGGTATTCACAGGGGAATCGAGTCATTTCAGGGTTTCTTAGGTGGTGCGAAATGGACTTCGTCCCTCCACAGTATGTCAGTGCTGAATTCAAGTGCAATGATACCGGTAATCTGTTCAGCACAGTCTCCACTGCGCAGTCAGTCAGAAGTCTCCAACAAAAAAAACGGGCGGAATCGAAGAACGAATCCAATTTCTTCGGCTCGCCTGGAAGGGACTCCATTGGAGAGATGTTGCTTCGTGGGACCTCAAAGGGCAACCGGTTTGGTTTGAGGTGGATGCCCGAAATGTTGCAAGGGAACAAGGGAAACCCTATAGGTCCTCCAGTGGAGATGTTATAAGGGTACCCTTGTTTTCTGTAGTTTATTTTAGTAGGGGAACCCTCCCCCAAGAAAGGGTAAAAGGGCACTACTGGAGGACCTAGATACATTCCAATGCTTTTGCTTGGTTTACTTGCATTTTTTTGGGGGCGTCCACCGGATACAACGTGAGACGAAGAGTCACTGGGTACTGAAACGGTAGCTTAGAAGGTTCACGTTGGAAATTGAATAGTCAAAAATATCTTTCAGGGCTCTACCCAAAAACTAAAGAATCGAAGGGAAGCGCTGGTTAATCCTGCATATTAGTTTGTCGCTTGAAATAGGGGAAGCTCACATGAAAAGTGGGGCTTCCCGTTTGTTTCCGTACACGATTTGGTCTGAAGGATGTGTTCCAGCAAACACTGAAGTTTTATTTGGAGACTCCTTCAAACGAACTTCCGATCGGATCGACCCGCCTCAGACTCCATGCTGGGTGCCTGCGGGTCAAAGATGCCGGATACAAAGGGGGTTGATCAAAATTTGGCGTCAGGGAAACCACCGAAAACCGGGACTTTCACCACTAAATCGGAAAAAATCCATGGGGGCCAGGAATATGGCCTTTTTCAGGAATTGGAGCCCTACAATGGCTTCGGTGTTCCTTTTGGTTTCCCTTTAAGACCACAAGCTATAAATACCGAGCACAAAAAAGGCGAGCCATGTATGTTCCGATCCTAAGTTCACTTTGGTACCATCCCGGAACCCCAGCCCAACATCCCCAGCATCGGGCATCCAAGTCTACACCCTTCAGCTACCTGCAAAGCTTCCTGAACTTATTTCAACTAACATCCCCCAACCAAGCCCCAACCAGGCCCCAACCACTTATGGGGTTCAAATCACAACCACTCCACAGGGGGTGACGGACGAAAAGGCGGTGGATCTAGTAGCTGGAACATGCGTGTGTATATATACATATATGTACACGTATAATATATATATATATAGTTACAACGTATTTCGTTTCATGCCAAGTTCCGGTTTGGAGCCTTGGCAAGTCTGAGAAATTCTGCAAGACAAAAGGAAACAACTTCTCCAACTGCGAGTGCTGCGAGGGCAAGCCTTGGCCCCTCTGTTGCTTTTGGACGCACAGAAATCCCATGTGACAGCAAAGGGTCCGGGCAGGTGGCCCGAGAAAGCCCACAAAGCATCCACCCGATTGCTCAAGGCCCGTTGGTTCCACCTCGAAGAAGGACCCTCAAACCACCAAGGGTGTCCTCGGATGTGTACGGCACTCGAAGGTGAATCGGGAGAACAGAAGCGTTTCTTTGCTCACTTGCCTCGAGGATCTGACAAAAAAGGTGCACCTGTTCAAAACCTGGACTAAGAATAGATCAAATTATGGCACACCAAAAGGTCAGATTCGCTTTGGCCATCTCATTTTTTGTTCAAGCCCATCCCAGGCATTGAAAACGAGCCCTGAAAGGCAACCGACGGGCGACACACTGCACTTGGCAGCTTGCTCAAGCTGTTTCCAAAAGTCGAATCGAAAACGGCTGCCACCCAACAAGCTCACCCAGTGGATACCACTATAGTAGGCAACCATCACATGGCCGTGGGTCACAACCAATGGTACCATTTTGGGGTAAGTGCACCACACGTTCTAGTCTATTTTGGTGGGGATTGGGATGTTGACTGGGGGTACGGGCTTTTGACCCATGGCCAAATGTTCGTTTGGTTCTCAAAGGGTGGTTCTCTTGGTTTATCCACCGCAGGTACATGAAATCACCGGGCTAGCTTCACCAGCCCCAGCTCGAAAAGGGCCACACACAAATGGCGGTGGGTCAAAAATTGGTACCCAAAATCGAACCCTAAATGGAACCAAGGACTACAATCTGCGGCCTGGTGGCTTAATTTTAGACCCACACCCAGATTGTTTTTGGGGTTCACGACACACCTTTGAGCTTTCCTCAGCCAAAAGCATCGCCTCGCCTCTGCGGCGGCTTGCGAGAGTTCGGTGATCTCCTCATCCTCGCGACGGGGGGTTCGATGGGTCTCTCTCGCAAGCGAGAGCCCCTTTTTAAGCCACGGATGAATATGGCACTACCATAGGTGACCTTGTGGAAAAAGAGATGGATTTCCATGGTAAATGGAGCAGAAAACCTATCTAAGCCAGTGGAACCCATCTATTTGTAAATTAACTGGAGAGAGAGGATAGAATATGGGTACCAACTTTGTTTTCTGTAGTCTATTTTAGTAGGGGAACCCACCCCAAAAAACGTAAAAGGGCACTACTAGGGGACCTAGGGTTTATGGGTGTGTCTTGTTTTGGGACCCCCCCCCAAAAAAAATACAAATAAAAAAAATGGTGGCTTTTCTTTTGGTTCTCCTTCAAAACCACAACAAAAACGGGAACCCTCTAAAAACGACACACCCTCACCTCAGATGGAACAGAGAATCCCTTATCTCAGAAGACCCTTATCAGATTGCTCCCAACCTCCCTGAGGTTTAAGAGGTGTAGACCTTTTGTAATTCAGGGAAACCCCGCCACAAAACAGGAAGAAGTGGAGGTCTCGGAAGAAGGTCCAACAAGGCAATGGTCGGCCGAAGGGTCCAATCCTGGCCCGCCACACCCCGCCCCCCGTTTCTGTGGCTAGATCCTCCAGAGAGGTTAGAATTAGAATAAGGTGAAAGGGTCTTTTTGCACTTCCGTGTTAGTTGGTGGGAGGGTACCCTTTTTTTTGGTAGTCGATTTTAGTAGGGGAATCCTCCCAACCAAAAAAGGGCCTAAAAAGGGCACCTAGCTGGGGGACCTAGAATCAATGGATCCAAGACTGGTTTACGGGTGCGTTTTGTTTTGGAAACCTCCCCCCAAACTGGTGCCGATCCTTTTGGTTCTCCTTTAAAACCACAACAAAACAGAGAACCCTCAAGCCACTCCGTCCTCCAAAAAGAACACTGCCTTCGTTGTCGGCTCATCCGGGTCCACGCGGCAGAGCGCCCCTGAAGTTTCAGCGAGGCTGCGGCACCAGTGCAGTTGATTTTGGGCTTCTGGTTTTAACGACCCGAAAAAAGGGGTACTAGCAAAGAAACAGAAACACACACAGAGAGATGTGACAGAGACACGAGAACACAAACACACAAAGACACACACACACAGAGACACACACACACACAAACACAGACGCACACACAGACACACACACACACACAGAGGCACACACAGACACACACACACACACAGACACACACACACAAACACAGACGCACACACAGACACACACACACACAGAGGCACACACAGACACACACACACACACAGACACACACACACACAAACACAGACGCACACACAGACACACACACACACACACAGAGGCACACACAGACACACACACACACACAGACACACACACACACACAGAGGCACACACACAGACACACACACACACAGACACACACACACAGACGCACACACAGACACACACACACAGACACACACACAGACACAGACACACACACACACACAGAGACGCACACACACAGACACACACACACACAGAAACACACACACAGACGCACACACACGGACACACACAGACACACACACACACAAAGACACACACATACACACACAGACACAGACACACAGACACAGACACAGACACAGACACACACACACACAGACACACACAAAAAGGCACACACACACAGACGCACACACAGACACACACACACACAGACACATACACACACACACACAGACGCGCGCACACACACACCCACACACCCACACATGCACACACGCACACACGCACACACGAACACACGCACACACGCACACACGCACACACGCACACACGCACACACGCACACACGCACGCACACACGCACACACGCACACACGCACACACGCACACGCACGCGCACACGCACACGCACACGCACACGCACACGCAGACGCAGACGCAGACGCAGACGCAGACGCAGACGCAGACGCAGACGCAGACGCAGGCGCAGACACAGACACAGACACAGACACAGACACACACACACACAGACACACACACAGATACAGACACAGACACAGACACAGACACAGACACAGACACACACAGACACACACACACAGACACAGACACAGACACAGACACAGACACACACACACAGACACACACACACAGAGACACACAGACACAGACACAGACACACACTCACACACACACACACCTGAGTTGGGTTTGCCAGGCGCCCCTTCCAAGAAGGGAAAGCACCCCCGTTGGAAGTCTCAGTCCTGTATGGGCCTCGCTCCCTGTAAGGAAATGTTCCTCTGAGTGCGGTCGCCCGTTTCTTATTCGAACCCTAGTTCCATTTACCACAGCCAATCCACGCAGCCACCCCAAGCCCAAACGAAGGCTTGACTGCCTCACACGCCACTGGGCAAAACAAACGCTGAAACCAGAAGCATGATGCCTCCGCAACTTTGGTCAGCTAAGATTCCCTGCAGTGATACGATTCCAGTAAATACCAACAAACAATCATGAATTCAAAGTGGTGCGGACGGATTTCGCCCATTCAAAGTCCTTTTGTATAGTGCTATAAAAACCTATCTCGTATTCACTCCCGTAGCCAGACCCAGCATCACCCTCGAGCCTTCCCCCCCCCCTAACTGGGCCAAAACAAAGGTAATTATTTGGGTGGGGATTCAGGAACTGTTCTATGATCTACGGGGTTGACACTTGAATGGTAGTAATCCTAGCTAGATTTTGAAGGGTCGTTTCGTGGGGGTGAATTGAACACATGCGTACCCTTCACGCTTGCCACCTGGAAACAAAAGGTCGCGTTGGGCAAAGCATCAGGTTAGGGAGGTTCAATAATCGGCGGAAAGGGGGAAGGTTTCGGACCCCAAAACGGAGCAGTTGGGGGTGTTTCTTCTTTCAGGAGACCAAAAACATGTGGCCTGGATCGCCAGTTGCTGCTTTTTTCCATCCACTCTACCCCAAAAACAGCAACCGTGACTAAACTAGAGGACGATTGGCCCGAAAGCATTTTTCCCCAGGCGCTCATCCTGCCGCGGAGACACCTTTTTACATCGCTGCGGCGAGCGTGTCCGCACGCGGCAATGCTCAATGTGTATGGTCACATGAGAGCTCCGTCTCATCGTCCTACGAGAGGAAACATGGCAGTGCTCGATCCCACACATTCACATCCGTTAAAACAAGAAGAGTAAAGCTCGTAAAGCTCGAGCCGAATTACAAGCAAAAGGAAAAGCAAGCAATAGCAAAGCTTGCACGACGGCCACAGTTTCTGCAAAGCACGCTAGCGCAACTTAGCTCTGTGCAAGATGGCTCTGCGCAGCTTGGCTCTGTGAAAGTTGGGTCTACGCAAGCTACTTTTCGGGAGTGGCTCTGCGCAACTGGCTCTGTGCAAGTTGGCTCTGCACGAGTCTGCTCGGCGCAATGCGCTTTGCACGAACTGCGCCGCGCGATTTCTCACGAGAGTGGTAGCTGCGTTGTTCCAGGCTGCTGCGCGCAAGTTGCTCTCTGCAAGCTGCTGCACGCAAGTGCTCTGTGCAAGTTGCTCTGCGCAAGTGCTCTGAGCAAGTTGCTCTGCGCAAGTGCTCTGAGCAAGTTGCTCTGCGCAAGTGCTCTGCGCCAGTTGCTCCGTGCAAGCGCTTTGTGTGCAAGTTGGTCTGTGCAAGTTGCTCTGCGCAAGTGCTTTGTGCAAGTGCTCTGTGCAAGTTGCTCTGCGCAAGTTGCCCTGCGCAAGTGCTGCCGGAGCTGTGGGAATGTACTTCGCGTACTATTTTTGTACTTAAAAGTTGCGATTTTCCAGCCGGAGCTGCGGGAGTGTGCTCCGCGCACTACGTTTGTACTTAAAAGTTGCGATTTTCCAGCCGGAGCTCAGGAGCACGCTCCGCGTACTACCTTTGCACTAAAAAGCTGCGATTTTCAAGCCGGAGCTGCCGCGGACCAGGGGGGAATCGAACCCGCGACCGCGGGATTGCGAAAGCAGGCGCGCAAACAACGAGACAACTTCCAAAGGCCAATTTAGCGAGCAACAAACTCGCACGGCGCCACAACGCGAGCGCTTCGCTTCGTCCAGACGCTCTTAACTCATGTTTCGGGCCCTCGGGCCCTCGCGGCCCTCGCGGGCCCTCGGGCTGGTTTGGGGGGGGGCTAAGGCTCGTGGCAACATAGCGCAGATTAGAGAAAGCAAATAGATAGTCTAGATACCGGACACTTAATCTGAACTTGGTAATTATCTACTGTTTCTTTTAATAACAAATAATAAAAGATCAAACAAATAGATAAGACAACAAATAGAAAATAAGATAACAACACACAGTTAAAACAGCAGAATTGATGTAAATAACTTGCAAAGAGCTTGCCCTTCAGCAGAAGAAACGTTGCAGCCGGGTGAATCAACAAATGCAACTTTCGAGCTGGAACTGTGGAAGTGTCAAGCACTGTTCTCTCGCTACAGGGTTACAAGAGCCCCCGTTACATACCTCCGTACCAAGGTTCGCGCCGCGTCGGGCTTTGCATGCCCCTGAAAAACCATAGCCATGTATAATCATAACCCGAACAATGGCATCATCCTGGCGCAATACAATGTGGACCTGGTACAATAAAATGCGCGTCTGAGAACCCACAAGCATAATAAAAATAACGGGGAAGGCCTGGCTTTGCAAAGAAGAGGTTTGGAGGGGCCGCGTTTTCCATTTAGTTTGGGCTGATGGTTCTAGTTTCATTTAACCCGCTTTTCCATCTAGTTTGGGTTGGTGGTTTGGGGGGCCGGTTTTGCATTCGTTTGGGTTGCTGGTTTGGAGGGGGCAATTGTTTCATTTAGTTTGGGTTGGTAGTTTGGAGGGGGCCGCTGTTTTCATTTGGTTTGGGTTGCTGGTTTGGAGGGGCCGCTTGTTTCATTTAGTTTTTGGGTTGTTTGTGTGGAGGGGCCGCTTGTTCTATTTACTTTTGCTTGGTGGTTCTAGTTTCACTTAATTTTCGTTGGTGGTTTGGTCGGAGGGGTCCGCTTTTCCATTTGCTGGTTTGGAGAGGCCGTTTTTGACATGATGTTTGGGTTGGTAGTTTGGAGGGGGCTGTTTTTTCCATTTAGTTTGGGTTGCTGGTTTGGAGTTTGGAGGGCCGTTTGTTTCATTTAGTTTGGGTTGGTAGTTTGGAGGGGCCGCTTTTTCAATTTAGTTTGGGTTGCTGGTTTGGAGGGGCCGCTTGTTTCATTTAGTTTCGTTTGGTTGCGTGGAGGGGCCGTTTTTTCTATTTGGTTTGGGTTGGCAGTTTGGAGGGGGCCGTTTTTCCATTAGTTTGGGTTGCTGGCTTGGTTAGGTTGGTTTTTTTCCAATTAGTTTGGGTTGATGGTTCTAGTTTGATTTAATTTGTGTTGGTGGTTTGGCGGGGCCGCTTTTCCATTTGCTGTAGTTTGGGTTGGTGGTTTGGAGGGGCCGGTTTTCTATTAGGTTTGGTTGCTGGTTTGGGGGGGCCGCTTGTTTCATTGAGTTTGGGTTGGTTGTTTGGAGGGGCCGCTTGTTTCATTTAGTTTTGGTTGGTTGTTTGGAGGGGCCGCTTGTTTCATTTAGTTTGGGTTGGTGGAAAGTTACGCAAGTTGGGTCGCTCAATTCATGCTTCTTTACTTGCGAATTTTGGAAGATACCAACTAGGTCAACATCCAGGGCCCCTCGAATCTGAGTTCCTGGGCTGGGGAGATTGAAAGACCGAAAAGGTCAAAAACCCGGGTTGTGAAGTCCTAGTTCCTGATTTGGGGAGACCAACAAAGTTCAAAACGCTGAAAATCCCGGGTCCCCTAAAGTGATGTGATGTGTCTTTACTTGGGGAGTTCAAAAAGTTCAAAATCCCGGGTCCCGAAAGTGATTTTCCGCCGGGTGTTTCTTTACTTGGGGAGTTCAAAATCCCGGGTCCCGAAAGTGATGTTTCTTTACTTGGGGAGTTCAAAAAGTTCAAACCCCACAGTGATGTTTCTTTACTTTGGGAATTCAAAAAGTTCAAAATCCTGGGTCCCCAACGTGATGTTTCTGTACTTGGAGACTTCAAACAATTCAAAAATTCAAAACCCCGGGTCCCAAAAGTGATGTTTCTTTACGCCACACACAAAAAACAAAATAGAAACTCTACTCCCAGACGCTCCCAACTCATGTTTGGGGTTTTCGGCCCTCGCGGGCCCTCGCGGTCGTAGGAGGTTTCGGGCTGGTTTTTTGGTGGGGGCCTTTGGGCTGCAAACAAGCTTCGGATTACCATCGGATATCCGTCGGATAACCGTCGGATGGCCGTCGGATAGCCGTCGGATAACCGTCGGATGGCCGTCGGATAGCCGTCGGATAACCGTCGGATAATTGGGCCGGGGCCCCCAAAACTGAGTGTCTACGAGGGCCCGGCGTCGGATA